GTCAGGCATGTGCTACGGGAGGAAAGCAGAGCACAGAGCAGGGGCTGATTCTCTGCTTAGGCAGGGTAAGCCAGCATCCTCAGGCCAAGACAGCCTCTGAGCAGTGTGCAGAGGAAGTGAGGGAAGGCACACAAGCCTGAAGCAGCAGCCAGTGCAAAGGCCCTGGGGTAAGTCAGGTCTGGTCAATGTGATTAAAGAAGAAACCATGCACTTGGAAGACCGGAGGATCAAGGGGACCAGTCTGGCCGGGGCTGAGGTCCCAGGGGTGTGACAAGCAGCCAGTGGGCTTGAAAGCCATCTGTGTGTCTTGGAGAAGTAGCCTGCTGGGGTCACAGAACCTGTATGAGGCAGTGTCGGGGGGTGGGAGCTCCAGAAGAATAGGAGGGGAGGGAGGTCTGTGCCCCGTCTAGAGAAGGGTGTGGGAGGAGCAAGGAGGCCCAGGTGGCAGGTGACTGTCCACCTCCCATGCCTGGGCCCTGGGGCAAGGAGCAGGGACCACGGGGGAGGGCTGGGTACTGGCAGATGGCAGGTGGGAAAGAGGACAGAGGCCATGGCAGGAAGGCTGTGGGAGCCACCAACGGCCAGCCCCCAGGGTTGAGGGGCTGCCTTGGTGCCAGAGACTGAGCCCAGGGCAGCGAGTGGGGCGGGAGTCAGGGTAGCCTTGTGCTGACACCTGTCACTGTGACCCCAAGAGCAGGGACCCAGGAGTGTCAAGAACCCAAGGAGATGCGGGGGACGGCAAACCGGGACAACCAGGCCAGAGTGGAGCAGAGGGTGCGGGGGAGAGGGGCACAAACACAGCCAGGGCGGCCCACAGTGGGGCGGGGGTGGGAGCCAGGCCCCCAGCCAGAGCAGTGCGGAAAGCCTGGAGTCTGGTGGGGAGCCTGCAGGTCCAGCAGAGCCGTCCCTCCCACGGCTCACGTCACAGGTAAGCAGGTTTTGGTCGCCTCATCAGCCATAGGACCTGGCCTCCTGGGGCCACGATCTCCTCGTCTGTAACACGAGGGTGACGACCCAGTGCCCACTGTGTCACCGGTGCCCGCTCCGCGGTAGCGCCCACATCCGGAGGGCTTCTGACAACCCCACACGCGAGCCTGGTGCCCACGGCCTGCGACTCACGGGCCAGACGCTCCACGACGAACAGTGCCCGTTGGTGGTTTCAGGGCCCCCGCAGAGTCTGCGACCATCACGACCCACCACAGAACGTCTGCCAAAGCCCAGGGAGAAACCCCGCAGCCGCGCGCAGTGACTCGCCCCTGCCCCGTCACTGATGGTTGGCCGCCTGCCGGCGAGGCCCGCCGCGCTCAGCCCTCAGATCGCTGCGAGGTGTGGTCTTCGGTGTCCGGCCCTCCACGGAGCAGCAGTGTCAGCGCCGGGCTCCTCTGGCGGCTGGACCCTCGCCTCGCTTCCCCTGCGGGGCCGGGGCCACACTGCAGCTGGGCAGCACGAAGGCTCGGCCAAGGGAGCAGCCAGCACGGCCGGAGCCCGTGTGCCAGCGCCGAGTCCCGTTCCCCCTGAGGACAAGCGACCCCACTGATCTCACTGCGTTTCAGCTGAGACACGTCTGCTGCTGTCAACAGTGAGGCCTTGCTGGGGGGGAACGGAGGTACTGTCACGGCTTCGCTCAGACAGCAAGAGTGACACCAGGACCCGTGACAACCACTGGGAATTCCAACTCCTAACCCTTTAGTAAAGCCGTCCCGGGATTCCACTGCCCTGGGCTGGGGAATCCTCACCCCACCGTCCTCACCCTGCAGCGCTGCGGGCAGGGCAGGGAAAGGCAGGAGCCACGTCGCCCGGCAGGGTGGGCCTGGGGCGCTCTGGGAGGCTCTCCAAGGACGGGGGGGGCGGGCAGCCAGGGCCACGGAGGGGGCAGAGTGGCCCGGACACGAGGAGCCTCACTTGTGGGCAGGGCAGGGAGCGGGGGCAGAAGCGGGGGAGGAAACGGACGAGTCTCCCGAGAGGCCCATCTGCCCAGAGGAAAGAAAGAGTCGGTGGCCGAAGAGGGAGCTGCAGAACCGCAGCAGAACCGCAGTAGCTTCGTAAAACCGCGTGGAGAAGCCAGACGGTGGGATCTGCCGTGTTTACAAAAGGAAACCAGGGCTTCCCTCAACTGCCTTTTTTTTTTTTTTTTTTTTTTTTTTAAACTATAAGCATAAGATCATCAAGAAAGTCATTTCTAAAACGCTTTCTAGGAATCTGGCAAATTTTATCAAAATTAAAAGACACAATGTTCCCAGAAAGGAACGCGGTCACCGTAGCACTCGCCGGCTTGCACACGACACTGCCTGCCCTTCCCCAGCACCTCCTGTCGCTGGGGCGTTCGCGCTGCCCCCAGACGAGGGGGAACATACTGAAGTAAGCGAAGACCGTGGTCTGCCCCTTTCAAGCTCCCTCCTTCCTACCCAGGTCTTCGACCCACCACGGACTTGCTACGATGGGGAACGGCGGCCCATTCCATCCCACGGGGCTTTAAGAAAAAGGCAGAAAAGCACAATCCACGTGCTCTCCTTTGTGGGGAATAAAACCACACCCGACAGAACTGAGGGACACACGAGCCCCGTCACCCTGGTCGTTGCCCTCGTGGAAGCCGGAGAGGCTATCGGGAGAGGGGACACACTCCTCACCTCGCGTCCCTGTGCGTCTCCCCCACGCGCAGGTGTTACTGTGGAGACGAGCACAAAAAATACAAATGTCCCCCCGCAAGGTAAACAACTGAGCGACACGGGCCCGATGGGGCTCACACAAGGGACTTCCGCACGACCCATTCCAGCTGGAAGGAACAGAAATCCTCCCAACTCTGGCCACCAGCTGCGCTGGGGCTCCCGGTGGCCGGGTGTCGGGCACGGCTGTGTGCAGAGCCGGGCACACGGGCACTCTGGGCCGCGGCCCCGTTCCAGGGACAGCCTGCCACCCCGTGTCCCGGGCTCACGGCCAGGCTCTCAGCCACCGCTCTGCGCCGAGGCAAGCCAGGGGCATGGCCGCGGGGATGGCCCGCCCTCTGGAGGGCCGGGGCACTCGCAGAAGCGAGCCACCAGGCGGAGCGCCGGCACGGAGCATGACCGCGCACTCTGCAGGACTCTGCGCCATCACCGTCCCCGTAAGATCTCGGGGAAAGAGGACAAAAGAGCAGTTGCCAAGTCACCTGACAAAGTTTTCCTAGACCCCAGGGACTGGGAGGTGCGCTGCTCGGCTCCTCCCTAAAGGGCGGGAGCTCTGGGAGAGAAGGTGCACATGGGTTCCAGCCTGGACGGGGCAGCCGCTGGGAAGCTGTGCCAGGAGGGACGGTTAAGGCCCGCGCTCTAGCACGCGAGCAACTTGCCGGTGTAACGCATGTCCCTGAAGCACACCCCAGAAGTCCTGAAAGACGCCTTCTGTCGGCCCACCCGCCGGGCGGGCTACCACGTGTCCTCTAGGATGAAAGTCCTTGTTCTACAGACGGCGAGGGGCTGCACCTCATGGCACCGGCTGTCCCTTCCTCCTCCTTCCCTACAACCTTCCTTTTCCTAATCGGATGTATCTTCAGACAGTCCCAAACCCTAGATTTTAAAGCCAAACGTGTTTTCCGACCTCAAAAATTTACACCGAAACTCTTCAAGAGTTAAGTCAGAATAAAGCATGGAGGAAACGTGCACAAATCTCCACCACATCACAGGACGTAAAGGGACGTCGCGTAAGGAAAGTCTGTTTAATGATCGCAGCGATGGAGCGCGAGCAGTCACGGCCTGGACAGTCAGGCCTTTACGCGACGGGGCGCCACAACTGTCAACAGGGATGCCGTGCGTCCCAGGGCCCCAGAGCGGGCAACGGCAGGAGCAGACCAGCCCCGAGGCGCCCCCGTCCCAGGGCCTGGTGCACATGAGAGGCACACCGGAAGCCCGAAGGACGGTCTCCACCACCTCATCTCAACGTGGCATAGAAATGCAAGCGTGTGACCCCCTCGCCCTTAGGGTAAACAGAGCCCCTCCACCCACCACCACCAATACACCGCCCCGACCCCGGGAAGGTCAGAGCAGCAGAAGTGGTTTACGAGGGGGCAGGTTTATAGAAAGAACAGCTCTCAGACTCTGCGCCCGAAAAGGCCTAGTGCGCTACTAGATCTGTGGGGGGGAGGGGGGAGCACGCTGCACCAGCACCCCTATGATCCCATCCGAGGGGTCGAGGGAGAAGCACGTGCGTGCCCACTTGGCGCTTCAGTCATGCTAAGGCAGGTTTAGGAGACCCGTCTTGGGAGTGGCCGGCAACAGGGCCCATCCCGAGAGGTGGAGAGGTCGGGGTGAAGGCCGTCCTGAGTTCAGGACCGCAGACCTCGGAACCCTCCACACGGTTTTCTGCGGCAAGGTCTTCCGCATCACCAAAAGCACCGTAAAACAGGGCTTCCCCCAAAAAGGTGCTCCCTGCTAGTCCTAGCACTAGGAAACCACATGCCAAGTGCGGAAGCTGGGAATTCTACCACAAAGGCCACACGAGGGCGGGTCAGTGCTGGGCACGCGCACACCTGCTGGGCAGGCAGCCAGGAGGCCCAGCTCCAGCAACCGCCTGCCCGCAGCAGAGGGGCGGGCGCGTGCTCAGCCCCGACCTGCGCAAGAACACCGGCAAGCAGAAAGGCAGAGTCCCAGAGCCGCCCAGGTCCAAGGCGTCCGGAGACCCCGACGCGGTCACAAGGTCACCCACCTGGTGCCCCACAGCTGTGTCTGGAAGTCTGTAGCGCTGCTGTTTGTTTTTAAAGACAAAACACTCGTTCTAGAGAACAGGCTCCCTCCGCTGGAAGCCGACCTCTCCAGAACAGGGGAGCAGACAGCGCAGCTCCCGGGACGCGGTGTCCTGCCCACGAAGCAGAGTGCGCTGGCACCACGGTCGCAGGTCCTGCCCAGGGGGCTCTCATGTTCCCACGTCCCCAGCCCAGAGGTCAGCGGCGCTGGGCTCAGCCGGGCTTCCTCCCTGACCCCACTGTGGTTTAGGTGTGGCGGAATGGACCCGCACTCACACGGACTACTTTAGGCAGAATTCATATTGCTTTATTCTCACTGCAGGAGGAAAACCTTTCTCCCAGTGAGCACGGAAGGCTTGCTGCACACTCACGGTAAGGAGATCGGGGCTTACAGAGGCCTCACAAGGACTCGCACCTGACACCCGCCAGGTCAGCTCCGGGGTCCCCAGCATGCCTTCCTCGGCCCCAGCGACACGCGATAAATAAGAGTTTATTTACAGGTTCTAGCAGAGCTCGCACTCGCGGGGCAGGGGAGACAACGGTGCGTTCTGTCCCGTATTAAACCAGCCTCCACGGACAAGTCTATTCTCCCCCAGCGCAGAGAACGCAGGCCGACGAGCCGCAGCCCTCCCGCAGCAGACCAGCGCGGACGCCGGCGGCTGGACACGGTGGTGCGCAGGGGCCTCGTCAGGGTCGGTGGCGGAAGCCGGAGTTTCCCTTACGGCAGAGCCTGCAGGGGTGTTCGGTGTCTGTGCGGATACAAACAAGACCGTGTGGGTACACCAAAGCGGGAGGTCCTTTCTGAGCACACGGGCCACGCTGGAGAGCCAACTAGGCGTCTGGCAAGGCGTCCCAGGCACCCTGGCCCCGCTGCTCACCGTGAGCACGCGACCGCAACTTGCTGTTGGTGGGACCAGGAAAGGTCAGGGGGAGGGAGCTCTAGCACGGGTGACCAGCCCGGACACCACAGCCATGGGTGTGCGTTCAAAATGGAGGGTTTATAAGAAACGTGTATGTACGATTATTCATATAGATCAATAAAAGCCTGAAACACCAGGATTTGTAGTCACCGCACTTATTGCAAAATGAGGTAATTGAGATGTTAACAGAGTAAAATTGATGCAGTCCAGCCCTCAGGGTCTAAACCTCGCGTCTGGATTCTTCAGAACGGTGTGACCATGTCTATTTGTGGGATAAACTCTGTCTTTTCCATGCCCAGAAAGATGACTTTTGTACCAGCCCTGCCCCGTAGCCCTGAAGGTCCCCCTGGCGAGGGCTGTGGGGCCCCCGGCTGGGGCTCCTCGCTGGTCTTGGCGGAAGAAGCGACAATGCTCCTCAGAGGTTGGTCTCGTCCCAGGCGGGGTCGTTCATGTTCTTGAGAACTTTCCTCACCAGCTTCTCCAGATCTTTGCGGGCTCTCTGCTCCTCTTCGAGAGACTTCTTCATCTTTTTGTTATCCTGCAAACGAAGCAGACCACAGGGGACTGAGTGGCACAGAGGAGGCCCTGTCTCCAGGCGTAGTCCCAGGCTGGAACATGCCACATTCACAGACATGCTCCCACGAGCAGAACCCATCAGAGAGGGCAGAACAACCCTCACTCCGGGGCGAGGGATCTCCACGTCACACACGAAAGGACAGCAGACGGTTACAAGAGGGACAGCGCACATCTTCCCACATCTGCGCAGACCTTACAGCCTTCCTAGAGAAACATGGAGCAGCAGCTGGAAGGGCGTGAGCAAAGGGGCAGAGCCTGCCCTCACATACACTGACCCCATCACCCCGAGGCGCACAAACACGTACCCACTGTTGACGGTCCCTTCAAACTCGTAGGAGAAGCGTGTGGAAGCCGTGGGGCCACAGTCGCATCGGCCGAGTGCGCATCCAGACCCAGACGGCACCACACCCCAACCCCCCTGCCTCACGTGCAGGGGTTCACCACACACCCCTCGGAGACACAAACCGGTGTGCGATGTACTTTACCCAAAATATGCAAAATATACTGTCACTTAGCCAAGGTCACCTGACTTAAGAACAAGAACCACGCGTTCCGCCAGCAGGTGCTGGGGAATCCCAGCAGGATTTTTAGGTGTTGTTTTTTTTTAAAAGATTTTATTTATGTGGGGCGCCTGGGTGGCTCAGTGGGTTAAGCCTCTGCCTTCACTTGGGTCGTAGTCTTGGGGTCCTGCGATCGAGCCCCGCATCGGGCTCTCTGCTCAGTGGGGAGTCTGCTTCCTCCCTGCCGCTCTGCCTACTTGTAGCGTCTCTCTCTCTCTCTCTCTCTCTCTCTCTCTCTCTGTCAAATAAATAAATAAATAAATAATCTTTAAAAAAAAAAAGATTTTATTTATTTATTTGACAGAGAGAGAGAGAGAGAGAGAGATCACAAGCAGGCGGAGAGGAAGGCAGAGAGAGAAGGGGAAGCCGGCTCCCTGCATCCCCTCCCGACGCAGGGCTCGACCCCAGGACCCTGAGACCATGACCTGAGCCGACAACAGAGGCTTAACCCACTGAGCCACCCAGGCGCCCCCATTTTTAGAGGTTTTAAATGAGGATGCCAACAGCACAGTACAAAGTCTGAACAGGTCCCTTTAAGAATTCATTTCCTGGTCTGTCCCGTTCACCAGGGACCAAACTGGCCCTGGAGCAGAGAGGATGTCCAAGGACACCCGTGAGTCCCTGCGCACAGGGTGGTTGAGAAAGACGCTTTTCCCGCGGCACTTTCCTCGGGCTCCGTGACAGATGAAGGAGCTGGTTCGGACTCACCTGTCTTAACTCCTGGACTTCATCCCTTAGTGCATAGACCGTGTCGACGAGGCTCCTGAAACAGAGAACGGGACGAACACCTGAACCAGGACAGGAGTGAGGACGGCGCAGGGAAGGGCGCCCCAGGAGGCACACCTGCTCCCTGCCCGCTAACCGAGCCACGCCGCACACCGGGCCGCAGCAAGGGGAAGCCTAGCACCCAGCCCGCAGCCCCCGTGTCCACGTGCCCACCCTGAAACGCTGGAGGGTCACTTACTTCTCCTCGATCACCGTCTGACCGTTACTCTTGGTTTCTTCAACTATCATTTTCTCCTCCTCTGGAAGCAAAACTTGGGGAGCAGACTCTTTGCGCGAACCTACGTCATTAGAACAAAAACACAAACAAACCCAAAGGTGAGCGCCGTGGCAGAACCGGAAACCTGACTCAACAACACGACTTAAACGTTCTATCAAATCCCGGGGACCGCGGGTTCCAGAACTCTCTAGATACGGCACGGAAGGACAGCTTTTTACCCATCTTCCCCGCTTCTGCCTAGCGAACTCAGTCCTCCTCACGCCTAAAGCATTTAGACGGAAGGAAGCGCTGGCCTTTTGGTGATTTATTAAGCTTCGGTTCCTGAGTCAGGATCATGGAGCTTTTAAATCCTGAGATCTTCCACAGGTAGCAAGGTCCTGAGCCCAGCGCCCTGGATGTTTTGGAATAAATACCAAAAAAATTGGGGGGGGGGGGGACATCCAAATCAATCAAAAGTTGAGGCAGTTTAGGAAGATGCGTCAGGCAGGGGCGCGCCGCCGAGTGCTCATCCGTGCGGACGGCAGGCGAAACGTTCGACTCTAGAGCGACCGGTAAAAATGAAGACGGAGACGTGTGGTTGAGAAAGACGGATTTATTACTCCTTTCATGACAGCCTCCTCTGACATCCCCTGGAACGCACACACGTCTCCCACCGGAAGGCCGTGAATGGCGGACGATGTCGCAGGGCCGTGTGCGCCGTGTCACCGGGGCCCGGTCCCAGGAAGCGAGCGCTGGGGGGTGGGTACCTGAGAAACTGGGAAACCCAAATATCTCACAGGTAAAAAAGTAGACTCAAATCTTTCTCTAAGGACACAGAAAAGAAAATCTGAGGTAGTGCTCTCCTGAGAGCTCTCCAGCACCACAACTTGTATTTTTGAAGAGTATCCGATGCGAATTTGAGGGGCGAATCTGCCACAGAACAGGAACGCCTACAAGTGGTATTTGACAGACATTTCCCCATTAAACACATGCACTTGGTGTGTGAGAGCTGCTAGCGGATTACAGACACACTGGTACGACTCGCCTGCCTCCTGGTTTACCTTTGGTTTTCCTTCCACAGAGGTTTGCCAAACTCTAACACGGCTGTGCCCCCTCACACCATGCGTTCAGGAGGACACCGATTTTCTTAAAGACGGGGTTAAAAGAATAGTTTCACCAGCATTTTTGTGTCCGCTTACTCTCCTCTGAACACGATTAACAATGACCATCAAAGCTTGACGGCCACAGGGCTCCATCGTTTCCATGGCAGCACGCCACAGGGAAGAGGGCCGGAGTTTGCTGGCCACGGGGCCTTGGCCTTGACTCTCCCTGCTGCCATCTGGACATCTCCCAAGACCTGGTCCGTCCCCGCCACAAAGCGCACCATAAAACGTAATGGCAGGATGTGGACCACCTCCTCCTCTGTCATCCAAACAAGAGAAGATGAAACTCCGGGCAAGCGAGTCTGGTTCTGTGTCCCATGGCATGTCTATACATTTCCGTCCCCAGGAAGGAAGGGCCCCTCGGCGCGCCAGCAGCTTCAGGACTACGATCGGCCGGAGCACTTGGGATCCTGTCACAGGCCACAGCAGGCTGGTGCGTGGGGGGTGCGTCTGGGCACGGCTGCTCTCCCACTCACCCCTGTCACTGCCAGGGAGTGGGAGGTGTTGCTCTGCTGTACCCCTGAGGGGCAGCCCCCCCGCAACCCCGTCACGGTCACCCACCCACAAGGAGAGTCACTCTTCAGACAGAGGGCAACATCCTTCAAGACACGGCTCCTGAGAGGGACACGTCTTCTAAGACCTCACTATGCTGAGAGTCGGCCTGCTGGGGGATCGCCTGCTCCAGGGGCCACAGCTCTGCAAGGGACCGCAGGCACATCTTCTTCTGGGCCCTTCTGGGGCTTCTGGGCCAGCCGGGAAAAAAGCGCTCAGGAAGGAAACTGGGATGTGAGACAGATAAGGGAAAGCTCAGCAGTCCCAGCCGAGGTGAGAATTCTGAAGGTCGCTTCCAAGACACCCAACGGTCACCTCTGTTTTCATCAGGAGAGTTAGTTCATGTGCTGTTTTCCCCAGAAAAACACAAAGGGATTCATAAAAACTCGAATGTGATGTGTGGAAAAAAACGGATTCAGTGAATTTTTGCCGTGAAGAGAGGTCATGGGTCAACTTTAGCCAACTCCTAAATGCCCCCGCCACCTGCTCCGTGTTACAGTCAGATCGGATCGGGCACCACCCTGTCTGTCACCGCCGGCTGGGAACACGACGTCTCATTAGCTCATCCCCGTGAGGACGCGACAGGATGAGAAGTTCGCCGGCTTCCGCGCATCTCTCGGGCTGTTTCCACACCTTGTAGCTTCAGCCTGCTGACAGGAGGTGGCCCCAGCTTCAAGCAGCAAGAGAAACAAGGGACAACTGCATCGTAAGAACACGGGTCAGACGGCAGGTGCTGCCCCGTCCCGCACGAGACGGGGAGGCCCGGGGCTCAGAGCAGAACAGAACGGACCTAGCTGCTCTGAGAACTTAAGAATCACATTTAGTATCTTTTACCGGGTAAAGTCACAAAGACGGAAGCCTTAAATTCCATTACATAACGTGACATCAGAGGACTAACAGCCTGTGACAAGTGGTCGGAGGGTCGCACACTTTGACGGTTATTTTTGGACAGACACTGAGAACACACTAGAATTTATCATACGAACAGAAATTTGAGAATGTTTAGGTAGCATGTATGGACTTAACGGCTCGATTCCTGAAAGATGCTGGCGCGGAAAATGCCACGTGTGCACTCAGCGGCGAGCCAGGTAGCTTCTAAATGTCACTTAGCAGCCTGCAGAGGAATCCGTATGATGCTAATAATGTTCCTAGTTTCACTGGAACATTTTCCTAAAAGGACAGAAAACTTAGTTTTTCAGAAAATTAAATAAAGGAATGTTCTCCAGCCAGGTTTATAAGTAAGTTTGTTCTTACAGAAAGAGCCAAATTTTACAAAGTAGATCGAACAAGTCACCTTCACGGTCATGTGGGTACTCTGAGAGGGGTCACAGCACGTCTTCCCTGAAGCACTTAGTTGAGAAAAACAAGAGAACCCACAAACAACGTTCTGTCACTTTATTTAAAGTCCTCTAAGAGGGGCTGAGACGCAGATGAAGGGGCTCATGATGGTTCCAGACATTCAAGGCCTGTGTTTCCAGGAGATAACGGGGTATAAGCGCTGACAACATACGTCCGTGCGAGGACCTCCCGGGGGGGGCACTGCTCCGGGCCCCTGGGAGGGAGCATGGGCCCTCACGGGAAGTGCTCGTGTGGGACGTCCCTGAAGTCACTCAGACAGCTAGCAGACACAAGTGTCTTCCCCTCCCACCCGCCCGGTGTGCCGACGGTGCCGCACAGACGGTGCCGCGCCCCGTGGCCTCTGCCGCACAGCCGTCTCGTCGGGGCCGTGTGTCTGCCGTCTGGACTTCTTGCGAGCAGCCGTGCAGCACCCGGCTCACCGCCCACCCGAGCCACCATCGGTGAGGGGTTCCCCTGCACTAACACTGTGTAAACTGAATGGCACTGTCCTCCTCCAGCCTCTGATGCCGCCTCGGCTTGGGGACATTTAGCTGTCCCTCCACCTTCTAACACATGGGCTGCGCGCCTCACTGCTTTGGAAAATGCTGAGGCTACGGCCACCTCTGGAAGCCCACAGTGCACATGGGGCACGCTGAAGGTTTTCACCAGGTGTGCAGTAGAAATACCCACTTACTTTAATTCGGCATTTCCTCAAGTCACCTGAGTGCCGAGCCTCGTCTCCATAACATTCCGCAGTGGTGTGTGTCACGGTTTAATAGGAGTGCCGGACGAGCCCGGAGCCGGTCTGCACCTCGCGTGACAAGCACACAGTGCTGGCTGGATTCGCTGCTCGCCGGCACGGGGGCGAACGCCAGGCAACGGTAACGGACACTTAGCAGCAGCCCAGCATTTCTCCAGCTGGAGGGCTCCCAAGGACGGGTCTGCAGATGCCCGGGATCCAGCCACGGAGGCCCGCGGAAAAACACGCCAGGGCAGCTGCACACTGACCCCCCGCAGGGGTCGCTCGGAGCCACGCAGTGGGAGTCGGGAAGAAGAGGGTGGCCTGGGGACCCGGAGCTGTGATCTACAAGCTGGAGACACGCAGAGCCCTATCCCCTACAACGCCTGCACCCCTTGGAGCACCGTGGGACCTAGCGAGCGCCGGTATGGCACGGAGGCCTTGCCTAGGCAGCACAGAGCAGGGCACTAAGCCCAGGGCGCCTCTCCACGGTCAGATGAGACTGCCGCCCAACTGGACACGCCGACAGAACACACGGCTTGATCAACTCCAGGGCACGCGCATGGGTGCATACATGCGTGCGTGCGTGCGTGCAGCGGAGTCCGCCTGCGTGGGAAGCCTACACGCAGTGTTAGTCGGCTGTCGAGAACATTCGTGGCAGAACTCCAGAAATTCTTAAATTCATAATCTTTCTAAGATCTGTACCTAATTATACTCAACTGTGACAACTATCAGAATGAAGGAAGATATTACAACTTGTAGAAATCTAGTAAAATCTCTCCCAAAGGTCATTTGTTATTTATGGTTATCACAGGAGTCTAACTTCTTCCTTAGGAAAATGGGAGGCATTCCCCTCGGAAACTGCCAGCATCTGTTCACCGTCTGCACCCTGCCCCCGCCCGGCGCTGACGGTCCTTCCCACTTCTCAGCCAGCTGGGCACCCACTTGATAAAACAAAGATTAAAACATTAGTCTTAAAAAAATAAACCATTTTTTTGCTTTGTTTTCCATTTATGCACAAAAAAATCAAGAGCCTCTGAGGACAAGCCTCCCAGTGAGCGAAAACTTAAAAAAGGGGGGGAAGAGGAAATAAAAGCACGTGAGGAGTCACCCTGTACTGTCTAGAATGTATTTCATCTACAAACGTGCACATTTCTTGATCAAAGCAGAGAGAAAGGGTCCCATGGCCTCGCCTTCATCTGGAAGACATCACCCAGGAGAAGAGCAACTCACACGCAGCGGCAAGCTAGGCTACTCCCCCAGCCCCCCCAAGGTAACAAATATTAAAAGCCACAGGCTAGCAAATGCAAAATTTATTTCAACTGTACATAACAGATGTCTTTTTTTTTTTATAAAACAAACACTTCATTGCCATGTGCAACCACAAACAATATGGTACTGTACGATACAATGCAACGTTCCGGTGTACATCCAACGGGGTCTTCAACGGCAGTCACCCACTAGAAACGGCTTTCCCATTCACAGAGAAAAAGCACAATATAGAGATTCTTTTTCAAGGTCTTATACCACTATATACATGTTACTGTGTTTTGGCAATTTTACGCAAAACACATAATTAATATAGCTTATAAACTGGGGCAAGGGTAAATTCAAGGTCAACATCATGTAGGCCTCCGTGGAAGGCCCGGGCCAGCTTCCACCTACCTGGGGGTTCGGGGTCTGCACCCGCACACCATGACACTAACCGCGCACGCGGCCAGGTTGGAGCTGCCCCAACCAGACACCATTTCAACGTGACCGGAGCTCCAGAGATGGGAGGGCCCCCGCCCTCTGGGGCCACGTCCTCACTGCCCCCCAGGGACCACCTTGAGGCGTGGCACTAACACTTCCAACCAGGTCACAACGGCGACTGGGGTATTCGAAACAAGCCCGACTGAGCAGAAGCCAGCGTGCTGCAGTGTGGCGGTCCCAGAATCGGCACGATCACTGTGCACGTGCCACGGCCGGCCCTGAAGGACTGGCGGGATGGTGTCACACCGCAGTGGACGGGACACGAAAGGTCTCCAGAAGACCACCCAAACGACACTTGGTGACAAAGTATCGTGGCACTGGGCACACACAGCGCGCAACACGGCCCCCACGCCGAGGCTGGCAAAGGCAGCTACGCCAAGGCGCCAACGACAGCCTCCAAGCGGACAGACAGACGTTCTACTGACAGTCCGGAACAGTGACTACTGTACGTGTACGAGAGAAAACAAGTGCTTCTGAGTTCACAGTATCAACTTCGTAGTCCTCCTCCTCCCAAACTTCCACTTACTATTTGGCTGAGCACACGTAACCCATCTCCACCGTGGGTGAACACTGGTAGGACTGCTGCTCGACTTCCTTATTCATGCTAACTGATGTAAAAATTGAGATGTCCAGACGGCACGAGCAGCCACTACCTGTCTGGGAACAGAGACCTATGTGGCATTCCTGGCTCTCCTCCTGACCTCACGCAGGCAGGACTGAAGGCGGCTGACTCTCCGGGCGACCCGCCACTGCCGGGGTTCCCCGGCGCCCGGCCAACCACGGCGTGGGCGCAAACAAGCCCACGCCCTGAATACAGGGGTTCGCTGAGGGCTGGGGAGGGGCGAAATCACAGCCGCCTGGAACTATAGCCACCCTGAGGAGAGGAAAACAGGTTATTCCCAATTTACTACGGCATCTTGTTTTCGGAAGCTGGTCTCGATGAATACGTAAAGCACAGCCTTGACGTTCCATCCGAACACCAAGTACGGCATGCATGGGAGAGAACGATGGCCAGACGCGGATCTGGGTGCTACAACTGAATGCAACCGGTCACATTCAGTTTCTTCCGAAGCAGAAACTCGTCAGACAGGCCAGTGAAATCCCCTTACAACAAACCCCAGGCGGGGCCCCCCCCCAAATCGGACATTTTCTCGTGAGTGAGTGACACGGCAAGTGAAGTCTTCAATGGACTCAGGTGTCCCCGTGACAATCAGGAACAAGGGTCACGGAGGACGGGTTGCTGTAAACAGAGTTTCATGGCAGCTAGCTGCTGAAAACAAACCACGGGTCCCTCGCAGGCAGCGTGACGGGGGTGCTGGGGCACAGCCAGGCTGGGCGCGGAGCCAAGCACTCACCTGGCTCTGAACGGGGTCGCACGTACACCTTCAGAGGCTGAGTGCTCTGCGTTTGGACTGACTCTTCAGCGCAGTGGCACGGGCGTGCTAAGGGCCACTTAAGAGCCACGGCTCCAAATCAAGAGAGCTGGGCGTGACGGTGTGGGGAGGGTCTGAGCTCTGACAGTAACCTGGCCCTCGGAAAACTAACCCCCTCCCGAGGGGGAACGGGGGCGCGGGACGGCCTTCTGTGGCACCCTGATGAGCCAGAGCCGGCTCTTCCCTGCTCCCGCTATGGCCCGGGGCCCACACTGGCCACACACCACCCCCCACAGCTCCGCGTGGCCACCAACCACCCTGAGGAGTGCTCAGAGCACAGCTGTCGGAACCGCACTGCGCCCTCTCAGTCTCCTCCACCTCTCTCCACCACTGGCTCATCGGTGGGTCCATCACACACGAAATATGGGGATCCCTACGTAAGGCCAGAGTCCCCTCTGCGGTGCTGCCACTCAGACCACAAACCTGTATGGTCTCATATAAAATAGAAAAGTGTTCACACAGGGGTATCCAAAAAGCAATGAGACAGGGGCTACACTGAGAACAGGAACCCAGACCACTTAGAGCTGGAGAGCCGCCGCCACCTGCGGAGGAAAGGACCCTCGGGCGCGGCCCCGTGAGCGCACCGTCTCCTTCCACCTCGGCAGCTCGGACAGTCGAACTGGCAAGTGGGCCTCCACACAGTACAATGGGAAATATCAGCAACGCTCTCCAAAGTTGTTAAAATATCACATAAAAGACAAGGAACAGCAAGAAAACATCTAAGAAAAGCAGGCTGCGATACAACAAGCATTTGTTAAGAAAAGCTCAGAAGTGCATTAGTTCTGGTGGGAGATAGATGAGCAACAGCTCTTACGAGAGGTCGAACCCGTTCTGTAACTATGGGCTGTCCATATACTGTCATAGTCAGAGTCTTCCGAGAGGTCTGAAGGCTCCAGACGGGAAAGGCTACTGCGACGACCCAAGGAGTCTAGACTTGACTGGTCGTCGTCAGCCAACACGTGATTATGCATCAGGTCAGTGCCTTGCCATGCTACGACGGGGAGGGATGGAGTGACAGGCAGAGGGGAGGGGACGGACAGGAAGAGCCACAACCAAAAACATGAAAACAAAATCAAAAGGTGATGGGAAGAGAAGGAAGAGAGAAAATATTGTTAAAAACTGGCAACAATGTTCAATTGTCCTTATTTACGGTGGGTTCTAATAGCACAACCCTCAGAGTAAAACTGGATTATTTAAATAAACCTAAGTCATAATACTGTTCCCAAACTGTCCCTCGCATAACCCATAGCCACGGACACTTCTACAGACATTTCCCAAGTGAACGATCCTATTCCAGTCTACTAACCATGAGTCTCTTAGGATATTTTAAAAAGGAGCCATTTATGCGTTCCATTAGAAAATGGTTTCTCATTCTCTAAGTGACACAGTGAAGCAGGAGAGTTTCGGGGGATTTTGGACTGACTCTTCGGCTCACCCTCTGCCAGACTGGAACTCCCCAGAAGTCATCTTCACAGTGGGATCTAAACTTACCTTATCAAACTAACACCACGGTAAACATTTGAGAGTGGAGAATAGGGTACACAGGGTCCATGTCCCTCGGGGCCCCCCACAATGCCGCCACACCCCTGAGCTCGGCCAGGGGGACAGAAAAAGTGGAAGGCCTGTTCAAAGCCCCAATGCAGACCCTTCTACCGGCAGGACAAGAGACGTGACGAGCCGAGAGCCACTGTGTTAAGAGGAGGGCAACGGAAGACAGTGGGCACAGCATGGGAGGACAGAAAGCAGCCCAAGAGCAGGCAGCAGGAGCGAGGTGCCAGCCACGCAGCGGGCAGGGAGGCATGCAGGGGCGCAGCTCGACAGACCAGGGCCCAGCGCAGCAGCCGCGGGCTGCGTCCTCGTCCTGCTTCTGGTCCAAAGGCACGCCACCCCCGAACCCTAACAAGAACAGGCAGTGGGCCAACCTGGATCCCTTCAACTGAATCCCTGCACTCGAATGAAGGTCACTATGTCCCCGAGACAGAAATCGACACCACACGCGTCTGGCTGGTAAGGTCTTCTTGCGCCCAAACACAGCCTGGAAGGACGTGGATTTCAGGTCAAGTACATGACCCTGTTTTTACGAAGCCACTTAAGACGAAAAGAGCTGCCTCCACTGCAGTCCCACACTACCCTTCCAGCATCAAGGATCTAGCTCCCCTATCCTACCTGGTCCTAGGACTGCTAGGGTTGCAGCCATATGGGACTGGACACATGAGGCCTCAGGGTGCTTAGCCACAATATCCACATATCGTGCAATGCTCTTCTGACACAGGAGAAATGGAGACAGGTGACAAACAGTCCGCATGCTCTACAAGCCGCCCCTTCCAGGCCGCTGAAGCCGCGAGGCCACGGCACCGTCTCCTAGCCAAAAACACGAAGCGCTCACGGACACACACACACAGCTCAGTTACCTGGCCTATTCACCTGAGACTACCAGCTTAAAATTTTACTTCAAATGTTTTTTAAGTTGAGAGAATTCTTTAAAATTTCAGATTCAAAACCCAAACACTATGGCCACATTTTATACAGCCTATTACTTAAAAGTTTCTCACCAACTCTATGAAACCAGTATCGAAAGACCGACTGTATTTACAAAGGACAGCCTGGCGCGCTGCACGCCCCACCTTCAGGCCTTCCCACGTCCCGCCGCTCTGCTGCCCGGCTACTACGGACAAGCACTCTCACAGGGCAGGGACGGACCACAGCCTCGATGCCGCAGACCAGACACACCACCGGCCCAGGGAAGTTTCTAGGTGACCTGCAGACTGCCCCTGGGGCTCCATCCTGCTAGCCCTACCTTTCCAGCTGTCGCCATCTAAAACAAAAGCTAAAGCGGGTGAAAATTCCCTTTCCCCCCTGTCCTTTTTCCCAGAATGAGTCTGACCGAGCCAGGATGCAGAACTGAACCAGAGTGGCAGAGGAGGTGGCAACGAGGCAGCGATCAGCAGCGTGCCCACGGTGCCCACGGTGCCCCGGCCAGGGTGGAAAGGGAATCCAAGACACACGATCCAACAGAAACCAGTTTCTATGCCGGAACGCATCCACCCAGTTCTCCAGCCAGACAGAAACCCCACAGCCCGCCCAGGAAGGACCGTGCAGGACCCCTGTGGTGCCCGTGGCCCTGGCCCCGGGGAGAGGGAAAAGCAGCCCTTTCTCCTGGACAGACCCGCGCTCCGCTCCGCTGCGCCTGCCCCCGGCTGCCTCCACCGCCCGAGGCTGCGAGTGGAAGACAGAGAGCCCACCTTTGTCCTGCCCCAAGAGGTGAAGGCCTCCTCCTAGAGCCGTGCGTCGAGGTAGAGGAAACCTCAGTGGTACTGAAACCCTCCAGCTAAATTAGTCGGGTTCTCCTTCCAAAAATGCGTAAATGCATCTTTTGGAGGGGGGGGGGGCGGGGGGGGGGCTGCTGAAGAGCCTTGCTCTAGATTTATATTTTTGACAGTTCTGAGAATCTAAAGGGAAAAAAGTCCCACTATCACACCACAGTTTAAATAGCTTAAAAATAACTGGACCAATCTCGTGTCTTAAGCACATCTTCTTCTCTAAGCATAAGCTCTCTACACCTCGGCGGTACGTCCTACGTGGAGTTTCCCAGCAGGACGTTTTGTAGAAATGCGTTCTTACTGGCAGCTCAGCCCCTCTGCGGTGACCTAGGGATGCCAGGTGGCCAGCCAGGTGACCTGCCTCAGATGGGGCCTCTGACCCCAGCGAGCCGTTGCAGTTGGCAGTCCACGACGCGGGGACTTACTTGAGTTGAGTGTCTGCCGCGTTTTGGCGCTGGTGCAGTACGCTTCGATGACTTTCAGAATCTGCGCGTCTTCTTCCAAAGCAGCTGTGCCTGTCGAGACACGACACGCCACATCAAGCTCCAGGCGGGAAGCACAACAGCTCACCGTCTAAAACAGAACGTCTCCGTTGTCTTGTCAGATAACGGTTTTCTAATACTTAAAAAAAGTTCTAGGTTTTTAAAATATTTTTTTATGTACAACAGATCTAGCAAAACGTTAGTGCCTTAAATACATAAATGGTCTTACTGGTCCGTAAGAAAAACAGAATCCCCCCATGCTGGAAGGGAAAAAAGAGCCAGGAACAAGCAAGTCGCACAAGAACACCCTAAGAAAAGAGGCTTATTTGCGCTAAGAAGTAACAAAGCAAAACACCAGGTTTTCACACACTAGCCTGACAATCCCCAGTGCTGACAGGGGCAGCGGGGTGCCCACAGCGGACCCTGGAAAGCTCTAGAAAGAGCATTTCCTTTGATCCCTGGTTCCTATGGGTCCCCAGAGACGCCATCTCAGATGGTCGCAAAGCACCACCGAGACCTTGAAGGTGTTCCTCCAGGGCTGTCCCCTCCGGATCCCTCCAGACACTGGCTTCGTGTACTCAGACCACAGGCACGGAGGAGGAGAGAAGCTTCCAGACCAACAGCATCACGTGCTGTCAGTCCCGGACTCGGAGCCTCACACCCAGTAGACTTCCCGTGACCCTATGGGGTGAACTATTCCTCTCTTCTGTTTACCTACTTTTCTACGGCTCCTTGTGTTAGCTAAGATATTACCCTTGGAAATGTATTTTAGAAGGCTTGCCTACTCTAGTAAAACGTGGAGGAATGGAAAGCTTAAATATTGAGGAGCCACATAAAGCCTCAACATTTTATGACAGACGTACACAAGGCAACTCAAATGCACCGCCCTGAGCACTAAGCCTCGCTATGCTCTCGGAGTCCTGTGTTTCACGCCTCACAGTTAGGTCTTTACGATCCACTTTGACTGTGTTTCCCCGTATGCACTAAGAAAGTGCTCCAATTTTCCCAACACCGCTGTCTGAGAGGCTGTTCTCCTTCCCACCGTACGTTCTAGCTTCTACGGTCAGGCGCCGACCACCCAAGCACGGACTGGGGGCTTTAATCTGCTCCACTGATGTGTTCGTTTCTGTGCCTGTCGTGCTACTCTGATCAGTACGGCTCCGCAGGACGCGCTGCCACGCGGAGTTACGGCATCTCCAGCTCTGTTTTCCTCAAGATACACACGAGTCAGTAATTCCACTACTGGACATATACCCCGAGAAAACAAAAACACTGATCTGAAAATGTATATATGCCCTTATGTCTACCGCAGCATTATCCACAACAGCCAAGCTGTGGAAACAACCAACCCAAGCGTCCACCAAGAGCTGAAAGGGTAAGGAAGGTGGTACATGGGCACGCGCACACGCACGCACGCACACAGAAGAATTATGCATCCATAAAAGGGATGAGATTGTGCCATTTATGACAACACGGAAGGACACAGACTGTATCACACTAAGTAAAGTAAGTCAGATTAAGCAGACACCATGATTTCACCCACATGTGGAACCTAAATTAAAAAGCCAGTGAACAAACAAACAGCAGCGTTGGACCACCCAACACAGAGAACTGATGGCCTGGGGTTAGTAAACAGAACAGATGAGGGGGAGCGGGAGGTAGAAGCTTCCATTAAGGCCTGAGTGAGTCCCGGGGATGGAAAGTGCAGCACGGGGAGCACGGGCGGTGGTGGGACGCGCTACGGTCTCGGGTGGGGGCTGCACTGGTGCTGAGGAGCGCGGAGCACCCAGACGTCAAACCACCACGCGCTACGCCCGAAACCAACGGAACGTCCCATGCGGAACACCCGTACCCAATGTTAACATTGTGGGTCAACTACACTCAAATAAAACTGAACAAGAAAACAGATTCCAGCACGCAGAGTTGAAGAGCTACTGAGAAACGGATGTAGCGTCTCTGACTGGAGCCCGCCGTGAGCGCGACCAGCCCCTCCCTCGGGAGCAAGAGAGGGTCTCCCGCATTCCATTCCAGCACCTGCTGAGTACGGCAGCCTCACAAGCACGTCGCTCCACCTCTGCCCGGACGACAGCGATCTGTGCCTGGGACTGCCTGCCCAGACGACAGGATCGACCCCCAGAGGTGGGTCACACGCACACACCACCCCACGCCCAGAGAAAGCCCAGACACCAGGAAGGACGCCCGCTGGCCTCCCTGGGACATCGTGTTAGTTCACGGCTATCGCGGATCCTGCTTCCTCACATTCCCTCCGTGGCACAGGCCAGCCCACAAATGGAAACTTCCCGACTCGGAACGTTAAGCTAGACTAACTTAGGAAAGCAGCAGGGGACTTTAGGAAGCAGCTGAGATGTCCAGGCCCTCCTTACAGAGGTCACATGGCTGACGTCTCTCCTCCCATCCACATGGAACCCCTGGTGCCCCTTTCGCCTCTGGGTCCCTCCACCGGCTCCTCAGCTCCCCAGACCCAACTCTGTCTCTCTCTCCTCCTTACGCTGCCTCCCCTGGTCTGAGCAGCTCTGAACCCTCACCGTCCGCCGGGGCCTTTCCATGGGCCAGGGACTCGTCCCGCAGGAACACTTCCCAGCCCCGGCACAACTGCGCAGGGTGCTATCCTATGGGCTCTAGGACACTTAGCAGCACCACTGGCCTCCACCCCTGTAAGGCAATGCCCCCACACCCGACTGGAATGACCGAAAGGGCCTCCCGATGTATCTCCAAGTGGGGCAAAGTCACCCCCGGCTCAGAAACCACAGCTGCAGCCTCCCTCTTGGAAGAGATCTGAACTCTGTCCACAATGGCCCACTCCACCGTCCTCACCTGGTCCAGGCCCCATCCTATCACGCTCACCTGGATCAGTTCGCCTCCTACCCAGCCTCCCTGCTCCCACCTCTGCTTGTCTGAATTCAACCGAGCCATCAGCGATCCCATTCAAACTAAGGCCCATCACGTCCCCTGGCCCCAACGGCCCCGCGGCGGCCCATCTGCGAGGCACCTCTGAGAATCAGCTCTCCCCTCCAGCCCCACCACCTCCCACCTGAGCCCCAGGGGCTCCACGCTGTCCCAGGGAGCTCCCCTTCGGTGGAAACCGGAAACTAACCAGGCAGACAGTGCGCTGGCACTAAGGGTAGGGATTGAGGGGATAGAGGGCGGCTGGGCAGCAAAGGGAGAGGGCACTGGGCGGAGGCAGCAGCCCAGGCACTGGCTCCAGAGCCCCCGAAGCAGGACTCTCTTCTCACCCATTTCATTGGCGTCCTGGGAGTGTGGCCCTCCTTGCACACTCAGGATCTCAAGGAGGAAGACCACCACGACGGCGAGCCACACGATGCCTGCTGCCACACCGGCAGGCGGCAGGGTGCTGAGAGCACTCATTTCCGCGCGGCGGCCTCTAGGCCCCTCCCTGCGTCTACACCTCACACCAGGACGAGCGGGGGAGCAGGCCCACATGCAGGCCACCTGGACTCCAGGGAACCTGCAGAACCCCCAAACCAAGCGGCCCCTACCCCGGGGTGACCTCGAGCTACTCTCCCCACAAGTCTTCTTTATAAATGAATCCCAGAAAGGTCCCAAGTAAGCATAGCAAAGAGCAGCACAATGCCCCACGGGGCCAGGAAGATGCGTGACAGGTCCCGGGCGCACAGGGGCAAGGACACAGAGCCCACTGCTTCCCTGAGGCGCCACTGCCCAGGCCATCTCCCCTCTGAGGTCCTCCTGCAGCACAGACAGTCCTACGGGTCCCACAGCCGTCTGCGGCCACGGAAGCCCTCCCGCCCACGGCTCCGGGAAAGCAGCTCAGCGGCGGGAAGCGGCGGGCGCGCGCACGGGCTCCGCAGTCACTGCTCCGAATGGCTCTGCTTGCTTACACACCGCCAAGGGAGCATCTCCCGAGGGAGACGCTGGCTGGGAGATCAGGTGCCGAATCCAGTGCCATTTCCGGCATTTCCTAAGTTCACGGCCGGGCGGCGAGGGTCGTGCGTGCATACAGGGAGAAACGCGACCTCGGGCCGCAGAGCAGACACATGGAGACCATGGGCCAAGGAGGGGCCAGACAGAGCCGGCGGTCCCAGGGCCACCCTGCACCCTGGGCCTGGGTTCCCAGAAGAAGTGATCACAGAGGCCAAGAAACCACGAGCAGCTCCATCGGCGGGAACCACACGTGTGCTTCTCCACCGGCTGCTCTCTGGCCCGCCGGCGTCCCCAGTGCAAGGGCTTGCACTCTTGCCCCTCACTCTCCCTTAGACAAGACATTAAGGCTCAGACCCCAACAGCTGAAGCCTCTGGAAAGCCACTAGCCCCACCTCCGCCCGCCGTGCCATGAGCGCTGTGCCCGAGACGGGCCCGCGTCCTCAGCCACACGCAGCACGTACTCACTTTTCCGCAGCGCAAACTCTTCATCTGAAGGCTTCCGCTCAGGCTTGCGCTTAGGTAACAACTTTTTCATGGTCTTGGGACTCTTACTAAGATCCTGGGGAAATAAAAAAGGAAGAAGGTGCTGACACACTCCGGAGACAGCCATGTTTCCTGGCATCTCGGTGGGAGTCGCGACAGCAGGGAACAGGAAGCTTCCACAGCCGCTCAAGGTGAGGCACTTCATTCCCTCACGCCAGGCTTTCTCGGCCAGCTGCTGAGCACGAACATGAAGTCAACAGGGCACAGTCTCTGCTGAAGACGCTCATGCCCCCGGAGAGCACAGCGTGGAGGCGTCGCGGGCTCGCAGGCAGGCCGGCCGACCCGGGCAGGGACGCACGCGTGCTGCTAATTCGGGAGCAGACCCATCTGCTGCAGCGAACCAGAGAGAGAGAGAGACTGGGCAAACGAAGGCTATTTTCAGAGCAAAGGCAGCAGCTTCAAGAATGGAGGAAAGGGAAGAAGACGTGCCCGTGCGCCGTGAGCGCAGCCACACGCGACAACAGAGCACACTGCACCCCGGCACAGCCACACGCGCTCCCAACTGAGTCACGATGTGATGGTCTGTGCTCTCCCTCGGAAACACAGCGACTGAAGACTGCACAGAAGGTCCCCGGGGACAGGCCAGGCTCCAGCGGCCAAGCATCCATGAAATGCCGGTACAGTCCCACTACCGCATCACTGAAGTCACACAAACCGCTAGTGAGTCTTATGACGTGAGACCAGCGTGACTGGCCTAGGGAGGAATCAGACCGAAAGTGAGGAAAGAACACAGCCTGGTTTTGAAAGGAAGCTCTTCGAAATCTCTTCTGCTACGCGGTACAAGCTCTCTCAAACATGGCAGAGATCAGTGTCCAAAGAACTAACTACAGCACGTGCTGTACAGCCCTGGGCAGCACGCCACGCTCATGCAGGCGCGTCCCCACCTGCGGGCCCAGGCACAGGGTGGCACGGCGCCCCACACGCACATACTGTGAAAGCATTTCCACAAAGGGTTCGGTTCAGAGGGCTCCACGACACAGACCCCAACACCGGGTCCAGCAAAGCAGGGATAGCCCAGACGGCGGGGCTGCTCAGGGTCATGGGCACACCTCTCCCCTCATGCTTTGTGCTCCATGACCGGACACTCTCCGCCTGCCCTTCCTCAACAGCAGTGAGGCCGCCCACCGCACGGCCAGCGCCATCTGCAGGGCTAAAGGAGTAACAGACCCCCACATCCGTCACGTCACCGCCCACAGCGAAGCACCCTTGGACCTGGGCACGTTATCACTAGCAACACAGAGATCCTAACAGCAAAATTCGTTAACAAAACACGTCAAGGACAGATTTTCACCTACGTAGTATTCGTGGGTCATAAAACATTCAAGGGCTGCGGGCAAGGACAGGGGTTCTAGAGCCTTGGGCAAACATGACCTCAGCCGGGCCTGGAGAAGCGCACCAGGACACCCCGCCTCACGCCCTGTACTCAGGCTCACACTCGGGCTGTGCACACTCACTCACACACGCGGCCACACCCACCACTGCTGTCAAGAGCTCCCCAAGCACAAGTACTTCCCAGGTATATAAGGCCCTTCCTGTCCTGCACGTCAGCACCTGGCGTGACCACGCCGGACAGACGCTGCCACAGACACGGCTCTCGGACACGCAGAGCTGCAGAGCCACGTTCTCCCACTTCCATCTGTGAGTGTTCTCTTCCTCCCGAACAGCTCCCGGTGACCAACGCAGGCTTCCAGGGCGGCCCTCACTCGGGCCTGGAAAAGGGTCAGAAAGCCTAGATAAGACCGCCCCCCCACCCCGAATTAGGTGTGCGAAGGAACTCAGGCTCGCCAGACGCCGGGCCCAGGGAAGCCCTCTGCTCCAGCGGCAGGAAGCGAGGCCCACCCGTGAAGGGAAGAGAGGGTCTGATGCTAGCGGAAGCAGAAGGGAAGACAGAAGAACCGAGGCAGACCGTCACGGTTCTGTATTTTAATCACGTCACAGAATCACAGCCACAGATATGAGTGAGGCACGGAACAGCCCACCCAGCACACCCAGACGTCCGGTTTGCGCTCGCCCACGCTCCGAACTCACCTCCTTGTAGCAGAGAGCAGCCGAAGGCCGTAGGGGAGGTGCAGGTCGCAGGCAGCTCAGGCTCCACGGCTTGGGGGTCTTCGGAGGCTCCAGGGGCCCCCAGTTGATGGTGGTGTGCGGGGTGCCATGGTGGGAGGGGTGGGGCAGCGTGTGGTAGGCAGGCGTCAGGGGCACCGGCTTGCTGTCCGCGTGTTTGCTGGACGGGGCGATCGGATGCGAGGGGAGCTGCAGGGGAAGAGGGCAGAGAACACAAGAGCCACCATCAGGGGCCCCTCACCCAGACCCACGAGGTGCTGCCCGTTTCAAAAACCCTCCCAGGCTGTCATCATTGCTTTAATCTCCAACCCCAAGCAGTCAGCTCCCAGGGCACCTGCCTACCGTGCGTCAGGCCAGCTCTGGGGCGAGGGGCAGGCAGCAGAATGTGGAGGCCCTGACCCAGGCACCCCACCACCACCTTTATTCGCCACAGAGCAGCATCTGCAACAAGGTGTTCCATTCAGCAGAGATCAGAATTTTGCAAACCAAAAGGCATTTCTATACTGGGAATGTGGTTATGGGGGAGGGTAATTCTCCCAGCCACATATCTACTCCTGGTGATTTAGGGGTGGGCTAAATGCCTGTTTTCCTTTAAAAAGTTTTCCTAAGACACAGCCAGGCCCGTCCCTGCTGATGGCTGTAAAACCAAAGGACACTTGCCACAAATACTGTATCGCCCATAAAGCTGATAACACTTTACAGGCTCTTGGCACAAACATTTTGCCAACCACTAGTTGCCAACCGCTAGGGTAAAACAAGTTATCTTCTCAGAAAAACCAGCTTTAATCAAAACGAAGTAATACATAAAATCTAGTTTCCCAGAAAAATAATGAAGGTTCGTACTCCTGGAAAATGCCAAAATATTCCATTACAGTGACAAAAAAATGCAAAATAGTTCAACAAATACTCCAAATTAGCCTGTGACCTCAATTACCCAAAACAATAAGGCATGCTTAATAAAGAGCGAAATGTTCTCTGAGCTGGAAATCAGAGTGAGGTCATCCTTCAAGAGAACTGCCTATTTGAAACACATGCTGAATGGGAAGCCTGGCAGCGGATGCCACGACGCCCCAGGGTTACTTTCTGCAGTAACCACAGCCTCTCCCGGGCGTACCCAGATCTGGGCGTGTGTGCGTGTCTTGTGGCAGGTTAGACACCCACACCCAGTTCACAAGGGAGAAAATTATGTAGAACGTCTCTTGGGGCAGTGACATCACAGTAAATAACATTGGGATTTGTTCAAGTCCAAAGAGGGAACGGTGTGTGCTAAAACGCGAATACTCCAGCTGGACACAGCCAGATCACAGGGAGAATCCTCAGCCCCTCAGAGAGGAAACTCCCGAGGGAGAGGGATGTAACATTTCCAACGCCCGTTTGTGACGAAGACCTGTGGGTTCAGAGAACCAACTTTTACCTGGTGTGAAATCCCACTGTTTGGTTTCAAGGCATTCCTGACAATATGAAGTAACAGTTCCATTTTTCTCTATAAACACACACACGCACACACAGTATCTTCGGAACAAATTCAGTTCCATGTAAGCTAAGCATCTGTAGTATTTTTTTTTTTAAGTATGGAAAAGTTATAAATGGCAGCGCCATTCAAAACGAAACGTTAGCTTAAGCAAACAAGTAGTCTCGACCTCCAAACTGTCGAGAGAAACCAAGTAAGAAAAAACCGTTCTGAACGTTACACTACGGGGCGCCTGGTAGCTCAGGCGGTTGAGCGTCTGACTCTTGATTTCAGTTCAAGTCATGAACTCGGGGTCCTGGGACCAAGCTCTGCATCGGGCTCCTTGCTCAGTGGGGAACCTGCTTGAGGATTTTCTCTCTCTCCCTCTGCCCACCCCCCTGCCTGCACAAGTGCGCTCCCTCTCAAATAAATCAACCTTTATTTAAAAAAAAAGTTACCCTACAGCCCTACTCTTGCTAAGCAAAGCCTTGACTGCTAAGGACAATGAATGCAGAAGTGAACCACATGGTAGCGAGTCCAGATAAAGATCACGACCCTCTCGGGGCGCCTGGATGGCTCAGATGTTTGGGCACCTGCCTTCCGCTCCGGTCATGATCTCCGGGTCCTGAGATGGAGCCCTGTGTCAGGCTTCTGGCTCAGCAGGGAGTCTGCTTCTCCCTCTCCCCTCCCCCGCTCATGCGCTCTCCCTGTATCTCTCTGTATCACATGAACAAATAGAGTCTTAAAAAGATCACAACTATCTCATAGGAATGTGAGAAAAAGCCTCCACCTGGAAACACTGTGCACCCCCAGGTCACCTGTGAGAAGATGTGCGTACTTCAGTGGGAGCAGGATGTGGAAGGTGCAGCGAGGACGTGAAACCAGTGTCTTAAGCACACAACACCAGGAAAGAGGGGTTTCAAACATGGGACACTTTGTGCTGAGACCCTGCAAACTGTTTAAGTACTTAAAAAGTCGAAGAAATAAGTGGATTTCCTAAAACCAGAACGATGATCAAGTTGAGATTCTCAGTAAAAAGCCATGCACTGCTGACTCCTGAGGTTCCAGGTGAAAACCCCCGTAAGCTGGTCTCCTCGCCCCGCCCCCCGAGCCGATGTGGCAAGCCACGCGCGCGGAGGCACAGCCTAGGAGCAAGCAATGTGCAGCCATCCGCCGCGCCGCAGGGACACGCCAGGAACCCTCAGGGCGATCCAGGCTGTATCGGCCCTCGTGGTCCAGACGGCGGTCACGCCCCAGGGCACTTGCTCACTCACTGACGGCCCAACCGCAGGCTGACCCAGGGTGGACGCAGAAGCACGGGGACCCTTACGGTGTGAGACGGCACGGAATGCGGCTTGATGGCGGGGTTGCCGACGGACGTGACCTTCGTCTGCTTCTGCAGGTGGTCCACCCACGCGTGCAGGTCCTGCTGGCTGTTGCAGGACACCAAGATGCGCTCGATCATGCTCCCTGGAAGCGAGGAGAAACAGGCTGAAGGGGGCGAGCCGGCAGGAAGCACACACGGGCACCCCCCCACCGAGCAGAAATGAACAGCGCTTAGCCACCGGCCCCTGGACAGTCCAGCAAGAATGTGCACACAAACGGTGAGCTGCCTTCAGCACGCGACAGAGCGTCCGCAAAGTCTGTGCCTATCACCTGATATTTCAAATGCATTTCTATGATTTTCACTGTCCTCAAGCTTTGTGATTGTCATTCCTGTCGTCGGTAGCTTTCCCTAAAAAAGACCCCCCCCACAAAAAAAAACAATTAGTGCTTTTCTAGTAAAGAAGGTACCATTATCAAAATAAGCATTAAATGAGTTTAGAAATGGCAAAGAACAGTGTAAACCAACAAAGCTCTTTGTGCCATATACATATTACAAAATCTCTAGGGCAAATAAGAAATCATAACGCTGTAATCAAAAAAGAAAAAAAAATGGAGCCAGCCGTAAGGTACAGAGCAGCGACGAGAACAAAAACCAGTCGCATCTGCCGCGCTCCTCCAAACATGAACACAGGGACACAGAACACGGGCCTATTAGGACAGAAAACTAGAGCCCACCACAGTTACTTCAGATGCAACGTGCAAAGGAGGCCCGGATTTGCCTCGCAAAGACATTCGGAGGAAGCCCCTCCTTGGAAGGCAGAGCAGGGAGGCTGCAGCAAAAGGAAGCGTACAGGAGTCACACGGCGCTGTCCCCCGAGAAGCAGCTGGAAGCTGCGCCAGGTGCCACATGGCGCAGAAGACGGGTGGGAACCAGACGGGAGAGGCCAGGGGACAGACCTCATGAGCACGGGGCGGCACACGGAGCGTCAGTAACGGCACAGGCTGAATACACAACGTACTCCCACGGCACCCGGTGGCCGAGGCTTAAGCGCGTTGGTGCTTTCTCGGGGGGCTGAGGGGGGTGGGGGGACGACACTCTGCGGCTCCCCAAGCAGCCGCTCTCAGCAAGGCAGGGGGCCCCAGAGGGGCCAGAGGCAGTGCCGTGGCCCGTGGGGCGCTCCCGACCTGCTGAGCAGCTGCCCGGGCCCCTGCAGCGCGTGCGGCGCCCCCCGCCCTCCCATGCAGGCACAGAGCCTGTCCGGAAGCTCACCGGGCGGCACACTGGACCGGGCGTGGCATCGCCACGGTCAGAGTGACGTGAGCACCACCGTGCGAGGCACAGAGAAGCGCGAGGACAGCTCTGGGAAGTGCTGTGGAAGACGAGAGTGGTGGTCCCGCGTGGAAGGCAACACCGACCCCGTGACAGCACGTTCTCCGTCCCTCAGAGCCAGAAATGGGTTCCGCCAGGGCACACGGCATGTGCCACAGCACTCGGACCCCTCCCAAGACCCCCTACACAGAACAGGAACGTGGGGCCCCGCCAGGGCCAGGAGGCCTCCCAGGCACGTCAATGCCAACAGCCAGGGCAAACGTGGCGTGGACACCGGCCTCATCACCAGGGGCCTGAGCCCGCCCCAAACAGCAACCTCTGCTCCCTCGAGTCCAAGCCGGGCCCGTCCTCAGCCTCTTGGGGTACAAACCAGAAACCAGAACATGCCGGCGGGAAGGACTCGGCCTCGTGTTTACTGGGGCCGCCTAACAAGGTGGAGCGCCAGTCTGGGGGGGCCTGGGCAGGTGCCGCCTGGGCCACGGACGGCGCACCGACCAACGAGGAGGCACCCGCACACCCCAGCTTCATCCGCTTCAGAGTGCTTCTTCTGGACTAAGTGTGGGGCAACCGCTCCTCTGTGTGTGGTTAAGCTTTCTGTGGGGGCACAGACGTGCCACGGGTGCCTCTGGCCCGGGGCTCCCCGATGTTCGTGTCCCGGAGAGAGAATACTCTGTCTGAACCAACTCGGAACAAAGGGGGGGACTCCTGCTGCAGAGCAGGACCCAGGAACGCACGACAAGAGGACCCGCCCTTCCGTAACCACACGGGACAAAGGCCGTGAAGCCAGAAGCAGCTACGGGACAGAAACTAGCTACGGAATACCCCATTTAAATTTCTGTAGACAAACAAAACCTCTCTCCCCGCACCTTGCATTTTCTTCTTCCAGGCTCAGCCTTCTCAAGAGTCAGCAAGACGACTAAACAGAAGCAGCTTGTGATCACTCGCTGCTCCTCGCACCAGCCGCCCTCGGCCGGGCTCCTGCAGCCCTCGCGGCTTCTGGGACCTCCCGGCCCACACCCTCCTGCACCCTCCCACGAGCCCGCCACCACCACCCACGGCACCACAGTGGCCAGGAAGGTGGCACCTCCGAGACGGGGCTCCGGATGGTGACACAGCTGGTGGGCACCTCAGGCAGCCCGTGGCCTTGGGAGGCAGCCCTCAAATGTCGGGTGGTCTCCTCCTGTGGCGCTTAGACTAACGCGGAACTCCTTCAGCAGAGTCGCACGGACACACAGCCAGGAGCTACGTGTACGAGGAACACTGTACCTACAGCAGCACAGACACAACGCACGCAGGCACGCGCACTGCTTCACCCGAAAATCCAAACCGCGCCCGGAACAGACTCTCAGATCCACAGTGAACAACAGAATATAAATTTAAAATGTATTTTACCTGATAGATAAAACCACTCATCCTAGGACTGGCAGACAACATTAGCAAAATATTCGGGAAGAGCAGAAGGTATCTCTCATTCTTTTCCTAATGTAAAAGAACAAAGAAATGCAAGTAATTTTGTTTTTAAAACATACAAATGTGAGAACAAGTTGTCTACATTAGATCTTATGAAACATGTACGTATTTCCTTGTTTCTACCAATTCTATCAGCTTAAATAAATGGAAACAAAATTATGACAAAGTCTTAGACTTGCAAATACCCACCACAGCATCTTTAAAAAAAAAAAAAAAATGGTTAAGGAATTCAGCTCTGCCATTAACTCTTTTTAGTTAGTCTAAAAGTGTTTGTTAGGTCTGAGGAAAAAAAAAGAACTCAAAGTTGGGGGTCGTGGTGGAGAACATTGGACCTTTCAAGCCGAAGGAGGACAGGATAAAATGCTGGAATGGACTTTGTTCTATTAATAATTCCTGGCACTTCCCTTAAAGCCCGATAAACAATTCAGTGTTGTTTTCATCCATGCTACAAACCTTAACTACTTTACATGAAAGACTTCAGAGCATTTCTATTAAAAACCAGTTGCTTCAAAAAGGTTTAAAAAAAAAAAAAAACCCAGAGAGACGACAAGGACAGGACAGGTTCTTGGGAACGTAAAGCACGCAGACAGCCCTTCCACGCGCGGCCACTTCCAGCATTTCCACAGCAAATGCTGACAGGTCCGGAAACAGGGTCCTCCGCAGCCCTCCGGTGCCAGCCACATGCCACAGGCCTTGAAAACAGGTTGCGCACTTCAGACTCGTGTGACAGCACTACTGCACACAGTGCACGGAGGTGGGCAACGTGTGGCGGACCCTTCGGAGCTTGGCCCTGCGAGGCCCTGCCGTCAAGAAACCTGTCCGACCTGCCACCATCTTCCCAGGCACGACCTGCAACCACCGTCTGGGCACACCTACTCACGCGCTGGAGATCTCACGTTGTCCAGAAAACACTGCTTACAAACTAACGAAACATTCCCCAACGCTTCAAAGTGCGTGATTAAAAGACTGTTTCTAGAAAGATGTGGGGTCTTTTAAGTCCATGTCGATGAGGAAGTCACAATTTCCGACAGTCCCCAGACTGACCTGAGTTGGGGTTTTCTTTTCAGAGCTTCAAGTTTGCAAATGGGTCATTAGCATATCTCGATCCTGTTAATTCCTGCTCTTGGTTTGTTTCCTTCTGACACACACAAAGGCGGGACAAAACGCCTCCACTCCTCAGGAAGACACGCTCGCTTGGTGAGCGGGTGAGGGGAACTCGGGCACAGGGGCACAATCCACAGTTTCCCTCGGGGATCATACAAGAGTGTATGCTCATCTCTCACTTAAACCAAACCCACCGGGTCACGGACTTCCACAACGGCCAGGCAGAAGAGAGGACAGAACAGGGAAAACGATGTAAACCATCAGAGACAGGCTTCCCAGAACGATCGCGGCGGCAAGAAGGCCAGGGCAGGCGGGGACACACACCCCGCTCTGTGGCGACAGCTGCGACACCGTCCTGTGTGGAGGCCACCCTTCAGGGGACACAGGCTGGCCACCACTCATCCTGGATGACCTACGCTGCTCAAGTGGCCCGCTAGGAGCTGAGCCCCACTGGCCAAGCCGAAGCCACTTTTACGTCACATAAGGCGGACAACAAATGAGGATACAGGAATTCTATTAAAATGACATTCCTTCATAAGCTCTAATCATGTGATGACAAAAGCGTAACATTCTAAGGTATTTACGTTCTTGACTCACTGAGGAATCGGAGAAAGCGTCTACAAAACACATTTCACTGAATACAAATTATGTTCCGCTCTCAACTCCGTTTCTTCCCAAGACGTCTTAGGCTGTTTCAGGAAAGACAGTCTGGAGAGGGGGACAGGACAGGACCACTGCCAGTCCAGCAGCCACCCTGTCCCTCCACTCCATTCTGCACCCACACGCTCTGCAGAGGGGAGCCCGGGCCCTGCGTACCTCACTCCCGGCGCACTGAACCATGACCTGAGACATGTACACAACACCGCCCAGGGTCGAAATGTCGTCTCCCTCCCAGCTCCGGATGGCCTCCGTCAGAATCTGCAACTCCAGTTCCTTCCTTTTCCGTACTTCCTGACACTGGGCCTGAGACACAGAACACCAGTGTTAGAAGACACAGAAGCCTCCAGAACCTGCAGTGTTGGCCGTACTACTTCGTCACTTCTTAAGACAGACAATCCACTCAGCGAGGGTCCGCGTTATTCAGGAGCACGGGAGTAAGAGTGGCGACGCCCACGGCAGCTCCGGACTCAAGCATTATTTTAGATCCAGCAGATCTTGCTACTCTTAGGAAAAAAAAACGCAGACTGGACAAGGACGTATTGTCTGGTTTTACTGGTCTCTGCTGGCACAAAGACTGAGCAAGGGAAGGAAAGCAAGCGCTGTAAGACACATTCCAGAAACACCAGGGATGTGACAGCCCAGGGACAGGGTGGGGCCCCACTCGTCCTCCGGAAGACACAGTCCGTAGAAAAGGACCTTTACAAGCAACCACAGCATCAAACATGTGGTAGCTTTTTAAAGGTTCAACTCTTTGTAATTTTCCTGGTGTCCTTAGCCCAGTAAAGCATGCGAGATTACCACCACGGTAAACAAACTAGCACGTTCATTTCTATTTCAATACACCCAAATTCTAACTCTCAGTTTCTTCTATCATCACACTTTTTTAGGTAACAAACATTTTTCTACATTCCCTTGTCGTAATAATGCCTGGGAGGAAAAGCCCTAATATTTAGCTAAATCACTTACCGAGAGATTTTTGAAGGCCGTCATGGATTTCTGAATATCTTGTCTATCCGGATGATAATCCTGTGAATAGAAGAAGTATCATTAGCTTTCATAATGTAAAGTCTTTTTTCTTCAAAAGGCACCGTACAGACCAGCTTGAAACTTGCCCAATGCTTTTCAACCGACAACAGATCTGACTTTCCTCATTAAAGCGCCATTCTTGTTCTCAGGGAGCCGCTGGGCTCTGGGGAAACGACAGTCTAGAAAAGCCCACGGCAGGAGTCCGCACCCACCCCCGCAACCAGCCTCCCACGGAGCCTGTGCTCCGGCGCCCGAGAGCAGAGGTGGGCGGCGGGGCAGGGGCCACAGGGCCCTCCAGACAGCGACCTGGACACAAGGCCCCGCCGGGCCTACAGCCCAGCACTCCGACACAACACAAGCCTGCGCCAGGAAGTGCCGGGCTCCCTTCTGTCACTCCTGTGCAAACGCAGCCCCAACGACCTACGGCCAAGTGCCCCTAACGCGGCACCTCAATGCCTCGCGGAACAGAGATGTGCGTTCTCTAGTTTGGGGAGGTTTTTCTATCAGCAGCCATGGGTGACAGAGGACAGGAAGGACATGTTTTATATGGAGCTGGGGAAAGGAGAAAACTTAGTATTTTACAAAATCGTTTTTGAAAATCCATTAGGTCAAAACCCCACAAAGCACTCTGGCCGGCTGCGGCCTCTGAAGTGGACGGAGAGTGTCCCCGATGGGCTCGGCTTCCGAGCGGCAGGCGCGCCGTACCTCCATGTGTCTCTCCAGCTCCTTGAGCAGCGTGGGGTACTTGTCCAGGCGCATGAAGGGTCTGCTGAGGCCGGTGGTGAGCACCAGGATCCCCGGGCTGCTGGCGCCTCTGCTCTCCATGAACTCGCCCAGCTGCTCACTGGCCGCCGTGCCGCGGGGAGAGAGCAGACAGCAGTGAGCGCGTGCGCCGAAGCGGGGGCCGCCCTCCCCGCCAGCAGCCCCGGGTCGTGACACGGAACGGGGTCCCTGGAACACTGGACACAGAGAGCCCAACAGGTGCGGGCCGCGCTGGCCCATCTCGGGGGCGCGCCCGCTCGGGGAGGTGCGGGAGCCTAGTTCCCAAAGGAGTGGCCCATTCGCAGCAAGTGCCCTCCAAGCTAGAACAGACGGCGACTCTCCGGGCACCTCGAGGTGGCTTAAAACACACACACACGCACAAGGTTAAGGCTGCTTCCCGCTACCGTGACCTACAGCAAGGCACCCCCGGCCCAACAGCCCCGGGAGCGCTCTGTGAGGAACGCGGCTGAGACAGCACGACTGAGGCTTCACGGCGTCAACAGCACCGCCCCACCGTCACATCTCAGAGCCTCTCGGTCGAGGAAGACCGTCACCCGCGTCCGCCGACGCGGACCCTGAGCGCGCCGTCAGAAATTAAAGACGCTGGAAGCCACACCTGCGTATTTTCCGCAGTCCTGTCATCCTCACCCTGTTTCTCATCTGACTCCACGACCACCACACCAGCTCCACCCCGAGTCTCAGTCCCACAGCACAGCGTCTGGGACGACCCGAGCAAGCCAGTGAGTGCAGCCGTGCGCATCAATCTGGGTCGGTGACAGACCCATCAGGACTCAACCTGGGGACCGGGGCTCTGCCCCTGCGCCCCAACCGCACCCCTATGCTCCCCACTGTTGTCCTTGCATCATTCCAGGCACGGAGACGTGAGGGACAGACAGGCTGGGGGGAGGACATACCAGCTCAGGTCACCACCCTGACCTCTGAGCCCCCATGTCCCCTACTGGGAGGAACACCAAGTGAAGCCAAAAAACATGGAAACCCTGAAGAACACCTGAGCACATCGGTCGTCAGTGCAGGTGACCTGGTCTGACCTCGGGGACCCCCAGCCACTGCCTCACCTCCTCTGACCCCTCACCCCCAACTCAACGACACCTGCCACTGCCCGAGCTTCTCAGGAGCATCAGCCACGCTAGGGCTCCTGGTGAAAACGGACACACTTCGAGGCGGCTAGTTCAAAAGTACTGAGCACGGCCGCTTCCTCCAGTTCGACTAACAGGACTCCCCGTGGAAACAAGAGGACAAAAATCGGGGTTGGCACAAGCCGCCTCTAACCCAGCCGCGACGGACCCTGAACATCCACAGGGAAAGCTGTTCACGTAGCTAAACCCACTTAGACATAAAAGGCTGCACATTCCAGGTTGAAAGCAAAGGAATCGGTCACCGTGAAACTGGTCTGACACTTCTTAAGCACACAAGACCTCCTCGGCGCTCTCTACCTGAAGCCGGGCTTATGAAAACGAGGTGGCCCGGTTGGGCCAGCGGCACTCCCCGAAGCCAGGGCGCGTACCCAGGCTGTGTCAGCGGCACGGGACTAACGAGGTGAGGGGCCGGGGCCGCCTGCCTAGCTCCCCTCCTGTACCGACACCTCCGCTTCTTGAAGTCAACCTTCCGAATTAATTTCTATATTCACATTCTGGCGGTGTTAGCAAGGCCAAAGCAACTCCTTGAAAAGGGGAAGGTTTCACACAATCCTAGCTCTAGAAACTCACCACACGTGACGTTTTCTCATTTCTGTAAGAATAAGGCTTCAGGGTTTTTCACCTGCAAGGCAGCCCTTCACGGTGACAGACTTAAGTCATCAAAGAAGCCACCAAGCTTCCTCTAGAAGCGCGTGGGTGTAAGACCGGGGCAGCCTGCGTGTGTCTGTAACGCGCTCTCGGACACTGGTTTCCTCCCGACAGCCCCCGACCGCAGTTACTGAAGCCGGGCACAGCGGGGTGTCACCGCCACCTTGTTGTGCGTGGGTCCGGTGTCTGCCCGAGGCTGTGGGGACCTACGGGCCAGGAGCAGCACCTTGGAGCACCTGCCGCAGAGTCAGACACTTTATCGCCATTTTGCTTCCTCCCTCCTTCCACATCGGCCTCTGCCCACTGGGACGGGCGGGTAACTGTGGAGCCCAGGCGGGCTTTCTCCCGGTCACTGCCTTCTCTCAGCTCGGATGGAAGAGAGGACGGCAGCCCGGAGAACGCATCGGGAGGGAAGGCAGGAGAGGGATGACCCACTTTCGGACAAGCACTCTGCTGGGCACCTGAGACACTTCTGTACATAATCCCCAGGCACATGAGCGAGCCTGCCACACAGCTGTCCTCTTATGCACGTTCACAGAACAGGGCACCCCATGAGGATGGAGGCCCCCATCCTCCCTGCTAGTGGGGTGGCTGACCCCGAGGAGAGCCCCAGAGCTTACGCCAGACTCAAGCGCCTGGTGTGGCCCCTGTGACCGTGCTGTCCTCCTTTGTGTCTCACACACGCGGTGCCTGCCCCTCACACCTTCATCCTCAAATGCCCGTCTCTGCCAACTACCGCATCCATCCCTAAAGCAGCGGAGTGGAAGGACGGACTGACGACAAAGAAATGGGTATGTTAGCAGCATCTCTCGCAGTGTGTGAACCAGTCAAGCACAGTCCCACAAAAGCGGAACGCTGCGGGACTGAAAGTACATTCCACAACTCCTTCAAACACAATCCACGAGGAAGCTTTCCTATCCCAAGAAAATCACAGGAAGTCCATTCGGAATGGTCTTTTTTTTTTTTTTATATTTCTGCACATGAAATTTCCTAACTGTCGTTATGGCAGAAAAAAAGTAACAGAACTACACAAGTTCTACTTCTCGCCTCCTCCAGAAACACCCTTGAACTAAAAATTTAAAATGACATTTCTGCAAACAAAAGACTTAACTTCTTTTAACATCCAAGATCCCAGAACGCCAGAACATGTACACAGTTAAGTTTTTATAGATCACTTCTCATTTTAGTTTTTAAATTTAGTGCAAGACAAAACAGCTGGTCACGGCTATTTTGACAGAACAATGGCTTTCAGCCTGCTTCCTCCTGATGCCGGCAAGCGTGCGCGGCAGGCCTCCGCGGCAGTTACTGAGCTGACACTGGAGGAGCCAACAACAGGACGGTCCTAGAGAACACCACCGTGTGGGCCAAGCAGAAAGCAACAGTCACGGTGCTGGGAAAAACCCTCACTTCACAGGCTCAGTGATGAAACACATCACTTGTTCAAAATAGGCAGCCACAAACCTAGGTCTCCTGTCATGAAAATGCAAAAGGAACCTCCCAGCTGATTCTACACGACCCACAGCCCTGTCTATGCGTTCCCAAGATTCACACCCAGAATTTCGACCGCATGAGCAATCACACAATCGCAAATAAAGCCTTTACAACTTCTAATCCGTACACTTGAATCAGTCCTTAAAAAGCATATTCAAGCATAAAAACAGGTTAATCAACCCGTAAGCGGGGCAGCTTTAAAAACCCCAACAAGTGCAGGGAAGCAGGGAAGAGGTGACAGGTTAAGAGGCCAGAATAAAGCGTGGTCAAACGAAGAGAAGGTCCCAGCCCAACGCAACCCTGTCTCGATTCACCCACTTACGCTTGGGAAGCAGGGTCTGACCGGGGGGCAGGATGGGGCCTCTCGCCGCCCAGAGACCTCAGGAGGGCACAGAGGCAGCGCATGCCGCCAGCCCCAGCAGCGGCCACTCTCCCGGCTGCCCCGGCCAGAGCACAACCAGGACCCTCCCGTCCCGCAGACACGCCACGTGGAGGCGGCACAGGTTCCCCACTCAAACTGGTCTGTATTCCTTCCCTGTTATTTTGGGGAAATGCTGCACCTAGGTTTCAGCTAGGACACAAACAGTCACTGAAGTAATAGCCGAAAAGAAGGGATAAACATCGCGTACTCCCAAGCATTTCCCTTCGGAGTCTGCACCTTCGTAAACAATCTGAATCCCTTTAAATGCCACCTTCACGACAGATGTCAATTCCATGGGGAAAAACACCTCATTAGAATCAGGCCCCAAAAGAGCCCAACCCCACCCTCTCCAGACTTCCAGCCAGACCCTAGAGGAGCAAACCCCACCCCCCAAAAAGGAAGAACGAAAGCGTTCAAGGACAGTCATCCTATTTGCTTCCTGCTTGTCTCCCCTATTGCCATGCCAGTAATTCCTGCGAATTCTCAGAAATGCAAATGTAATCCTTGCATTCAACTTTTGTGGAAATTCTAATGCCCCAGAGGCCAAGGCAGAGCACAAAATGGAAGGCATGTGGGAACACGGCCGCCCTCCCAGAGGCAAGGAGGAAGAGCTTAGGGGAGCAGGGGCTGGGTTCTTTGGGTTCCATTTCTTTGGACACCATATATGCTGCCCTCCCTTTCCTTCTGTCACCCGCCACAGGCCGCTGCCTCATTTCAGGACTGGAGGAGCTTTCCTTACGTTTCAGCACACGGAGCCACAGTGGGAGCACAGGCTCTTCGGGGGGACGGGCACAGAGAGGACCGCAAGTAGCACGGACGCCGGAGCACCTGCCCACTCAGCCCCGCTCTCCCGCACCTTTTGCTTCATGCTTTACAGTAACCCCACCAGCCGGCACTTCCAGAGAAGGGACAGCAGCCCGGAGAGGCAAGAGGCCTTGCGCAAGGCTCAGCAGCGGAGTGCACAGCTGGGGCTCCAACCAGGTCAGGGTGAGCCCGAGGCCCTGGCTCCGCAGCCCCGCCGGCCACCGCGCTGGCGGGGACGCTACCCGAGGCCCAGCTCCATTTACAAATAGCCCAGGCATACTCGTCAGCAAGTGTTTTTAAGTTGAAATATTTAAATATTTAACTCTAACTTATCCTTAATGCTACTGAAACGATTTTTCATTCACAGTTTAAAAAATTTTTAAATGGCTCTTTTCAAGAGTAACCGTGAAGATCTCTCTAGCACAGCAGGAAAACTCGGTGCCTCTCTCAGAAGCGGAAGCCGGGCGCCCGCACTCCCCCCAGCAGCCCCGGCCCCACCAGCCGCTCTGCCGCCTCCTTCTCCGCCTCCTTCGGCCTCGCGGGGTCTCACCGAGCCAACGAGCAGATGCGCGCTCTGTTTCACTTCTTTTAGCTCCGTTTCAGGTTGAAACGCTGAAGCTAATTATCTCCGACTTAACTTTTACCTGTAACACCCAGCCCTGGTTTTAACAGGACCACATTCTCTTAGGGCAAATCTAATTCCAAACCCCGTGCTTGCCGTCCCGGGAGCTCACAGAAACAGGAGGCGGCAGCCTGGGGTTAGCTCACAGCTGCATTCCGGAATCCTAACGGCTCCTCCAACCCACTGCCCCAAGGGCTCCACGCTAAAGGGAGACTTCAAAAAACACCCTTTTTCTGCTCCAAAACGCTACTCAGCACCTCAGAGACCCCTTACCAGCGCTTCCCGGGCCCTCAGCTCAAGAGGAAACTAAAAACACCGTGACTGTTGAACGAACAAGTGGGTATCCGCACAGTGCCACGTAACACGTGGCCAAAAGGAGCGGATGCAAAGGGCACCCCGGGGGCCTTTGCCCTCGGGGGAGGGGGTCTAAGGGCACGTACCTGTGCTCCGTGAGGACGTTCACTGCAGATGGGTGGTTGGCACAATACGCAAGGTACAAGGTTTTCATTTGCGGCATCAGATTTAAAAAGCACCCTCCGACCCGCTGCTGAGCTTCCGGTAGCCTGCAGACGTGCGACACAAGGGAGACATCCCAAACTTCACGGACAGAAGGGAAATTGCCAAGTAACAAATACAGAAAACCAGAGTGAGGAAGACCTCCTTGTGTACCACCGCTACGAGAACAAAATATACAAAATCGCAGGACGTGGGCTCACACCAGCCACCAAGCAGACAGAAGCCCATACCTGGAAAGCTCCTCTGCTACCGAGTGGCAAACTGACCCGTCTTTCCGCCTGCACCCAGCTGCCGTGGCCACCTACGCACCGCTCCAGACCCCCAAATCAAGGCTTTGGGCAGGGGAGGATGAGAGGTCACAAACCCGTCAGTTTTGTATAAAAGGGGAATCAGAGAATGCCTTGGCCGGCAAGGTGTGCTACTGAGGTAGCACGGGGACAGGCACGCACACACACACACACACACCACAAAAACACCACAGCCCTCCTTCCGTTTAGGGGAAAGCTGGAGACCGAGCCCACCCCAGACGCCCTCCCCCCGTCTCAAATCCAGGCTACGACAGCTGCTGAGCCTCAAACAGGCAAAAACTCACAAGAGCAAAACAGAAAGGGAGATGACTGGCAGCAACTGTGGAAGCAGAACAGCACGACGACGAGTGGTGCTGACTGGGAGGCCACGCCCGCAGCTGCCTTCCAGCATGGCGGAGGCCCCCCTTCAGGTCACAGCCACCTTATTCCTATCAAACGGACCCCTACAGGTACACAAACTCTGGACAAAAGATAGAACCAACTGTCTGAAGGCAGCAGGGGCCAGAGGGGAAGATTCTGGAGATGCCTGGCACTTGGAGAGGGAAAGGATGCAATTCTCTATGCTCTGGGCCAACGGGGGCCAAGGCTATGCCACGTAGGGCAGCTAAGCCCCAAGAGCAAATGACACAGTTTGGTTCAACCCGAGCTGCTGGGACGTGGGGGGGGGGGTTGGGGGGGTAGAATTCTAGGACCATGCACCTGAGTTCTGCACCAATCTCCGCAAACTCTCAGAATATTCACGATCAAAGCCTGTTTGATGAGGAAAGCTCATCTCAAACCCTCCGTCCCACCACGGAAAATCCAACGGCTAACACCAGCGCACCATGCCCTCGAGGAACGTGACCAAAACACCACCTGGTCACACAGAAGTCCCGGAGGATGCAAGGCCCGAAGGCTGACAAGACATTGGACTCTCGGCCGCTCTGTGACCTCCCTGAATGTTAGGGTTCAGATGCACACACCTGCAGTACAGAGGGAGGCCCAAAAGAGGTGCCGCAAACACTCTACGCAAATACCAAGGTATTCAGTCCACCTTACCCACGGCCAGCGGGAAGAGCAAGGGCAAGCCCACAGAGGCTGGCCTCTCACAAAGGCCCCGCACTGCCGGCAAATGACCTCCGCACATCAAAAGGAAGGCAAACCTATTCTCAAACTACTCTTTTCATGCCAGTCATTAATGTCACTTTATACAAACCAAAAATGCTACCAAAGGAAGCGTGATGTGAGTTTGTGTTTGGAAGCCGGCACTTGCCGTGTCCTTCAGCTTTCCTGCCACACCGTCCAGGAGCAAGCGCCTGGAGGAAACCTGGAACCTCCTTTGAGCGTGGCCGGCGGTCGGCCTGGGACACGGGGGCAGAACACCCTCACCACTTAGGAGGGAGAAAGACGAAACGCTGCAGGAAGGAGGAACCAGACACCAGCCAGATTCCGGGAGGAGAAGTTTGCTGATCCTGCCGCCACAGACGGAACTGAAAAGTAAGAAGGACGCCCTCCTCTCTCAAGTCACAGGTGATCAACACCGAGCATCCCCTGGAGACCCAGAGCCTAGAAAGTGCGTTCGTGTGCACTTAGCCGCGAGCTGGGGGACACCCACTGGCTCTTAGTCCGCACCGGTCCCCGTGCCCGCTGTCGGCCAAGAACAAAAGCCACGCGGGAAAACAGCCAGTCAGACGGCCACTCAGAACAGGCCTCCCCGCTTCCCACAAAAAACATCGCGGCCAAGCAAAACCGAGCACGCGACCGCCACAGCACGTTCAGACGGCGTGCCGCCCCCGCCCCCGCCCCCGCCCCCGCCCCCGCCCCCGCCTCCGCCTCCGCCTCCGCCTCCGCCTCCGCGGGCCGCAACGGAGCAGGAGCCGCCCCTGCGCCTGCGCGGCTCCTCCTTCCCCACGGCCCCGCCCACCCAACGCCGCAAAAACTCCTGCTGCGGGCCCGTCGCTCCTTTCTCCACAGTCAGCGGACAGCCCTACGACAAACTCCAGACAGTCAAAAACAACTCATACTAGAAAAGCTGATACACCAAAAAGAGCCAAAGTAACAGTTTCCATCATTAGAAATGCAAATTCTAAAATTACGTTAAACCTGAATCTTTAAACACCAGCTGTAATAACCTGCATTTTGTAAATTTTTAGCATCTTACTTACTTGGTGCATTCTTCTAAAGACTGAACAAGCATTTGCTGGAAAGAACATATTTCTTCTAGATTTCCCATTAAATGCGAAGTGTTTGCTGAACTTAACCTAAAACCAAGAAAATAACAGTAAAAGTGGTACACTTTCACTCTCCTCTCCCTTCCCAATGCCCAACTGAGGCCCCACCGACTAAAAATCCCTGCATCTCAAACAAGCCGGTTCACCGGTTTATACCAGCATTTCGTCCTCTGTTCTCCGAGAAGGTGAGCCTCGGTGTCGACTACGTTGGTTAGTACAACTGACCATCCAACTTACTTCTCACTGGTCTGCAGAGGCCGTAGATAGGCTGAAAGCACAGTCTGAAGCTCTTTAGAATATTCATTTTCTGTTTCCAAAATGTTCTGTAGCACCTACGACAAACGAACAATACCATTACTGGCCGGTAAGATTTAGTTCATCACTGTCCAAACTCACACGTTGCTTCGACAGAATACCGATGCATTTATTGTCCCTCCCCGTGACCATTAACTACGAAAACCCGCGCCACAGAGTCTTCCCGCAGCTGCACAACTGACTTCCTCTCACTGCCAGGCACATGTGGGACGAGGACACGCAGAACGAGCCTGTGATAAATTCCATCATCAGGGGTGCTCAAATCACAGAAGCACAAACACACAGACCGGTCTCCAACACAGAGCCCTGCAGAGGCAGCCAGCCGTTCACACAAGAATGTCAGGCCTGTCCCGCTCACGGTCAAGTCCAAGAACGGGCAGAACTAACCTGCTGAGGGCAGAAAGCAGAAGTGGGGAAGGACTGACAATGGGGAAAGGGCCTACGTTTCTAGGGTGATCGATATATTCTACACCGTAATTTGAGCAGTCACTGCAAATAAATACACTTGCCAAAATTAACTGAACTATACCTTTAAAATCCATGCATTTTAACATATGCAAAGTGTATTTCAACGGACAAAATCAAGTTCGCTCTTTAGACTGAGCCTAGCAAATGTATATCAATTTCATCAGAGAATGATGGTCTCAAATCATGCTACACAGCTTTATTGAGAACTAAAAGTCCACCAGTATAAAGCCCTTAAGTAGCCACTACTTTGAACAAAGAATGATAAACCAACCTTAAAATGTGTCCTGGTACCTATGTTAGATAAAAAGTGCAAAACATGGGGTGCCTGGGGGCCTCAGTTGGTGAAGCCTCTGCCTTAGGCTCACGTCATGATCTCAAGGTCCTGGGATCCAGTTCCCCATCGGACTCTCTTATCCGTGGGGAATCTGCTTCTCCCTCTCTGCTTGTGATCTCTGTCTCTCTCAAATGGGTAAAGAAAATCTTTTTTTTTTTTTTTAAGTGCAAAACAGCTGAAGTGAAAAACCCCTTTCCATTAGCAATGGCCAAGAGCGGAGGCCCCTCCCAGAGTAGGGAGGGGTGGCACCAAGGCAGGCGGGTGAGCAGGCGGAGCCCGGATGCCACGGCCAGCGGCAGCTCTCGTCCTCAGGGAAGCTCTCCCTCTAACCCTCTCTGCTCGGCCTTGTCCTCTGGAAGGATGCTTCAAGTCAAACCACTAGTGAGGAGCAGAGCCCGTGGGTGGTGTCTGCACGTGGCCTGGACACAGCCCATGCCTGATGCCCCCTCTCTGCCCTCTCTGCCCGCCAGGCTGAGTACAGGAACCCGAGCTCCCAGGGGACCTGATGTACGTAAGGAACGCAAAAACCCCTTCCTCAACCCCCTTTTCCTTCCTGCTCTGTCAGAGGCCCAGCGCCTTCTTCAATGAGAAAATCACATCCCGCATGTTTTCTGAGCATCCACAAAACGCACTACAAAGTGCTACTTCTCTTCCAGAACCAACCATCCTCAATCATGCACAAAGTTGTACAGAATAAACACAAATGCAGTCTTCTCCCCGACTTGGTAATTAAAATATATATGCTAAACATTAAAAAAAAGTAATCATTCGTCTAAGTTCAGATTTCCACATCAGTAACATGCATTCAACATGGGTTCTTCGTCCACTCAGTTTTGTGTGTCCTCTGGGGAGAGCACGGTCCTTCCTAAGTGCAAATCTGATTAAATAACTTACTTGCTAGCTAAGATGGAGAGAATCAGTTGCTTTCACTGGGACATTGGGCTCTGGTTTCTCCCCTGAATGGGTCTATTCATGCGAGAGTGGGGGAGCAAGCCGGAGGGCGGAGGGGCCACTCAGAGAGCTCATTCCTCTGTGGGAAAATCTGGGTGCTGGTCCCAGGATCACAATGTCTCCCTTCGAAGAAACGGTCACCGGACAAAAATGTCAAAGGAACGGTGGACAGAGAACACAATGTGACACCAGCCCCTGCGTCAGAAAATTATTTAAGCGACATTATCCTTTAAAAGTAACGTGAAGCCAAGGAGACTGGTCCTGAACTGAAAAAAAAATTGGATCTGCCACCGATGCAGAAGATGGAAAGTCTTCGACGCTCCAACAGAAACCAAACTGTGCCTTCGCGCACCAGCTACAAGTGCTGCGGACCGTCGGCAGCGCTGCCTTCAGAGCGCTGGCAGCCACGCGCCAGCCACAAAACGAGAGAAAGGAAGCACAAGACGACATCCCGAGGATGAGTGGAGTCCGGTAGGGAGGCCCTTCCTCCGTCAGAGCAGCAGAGCACAGCGTGCAGACGTAAACGCCTCCCTAAGAGCGCACCAGAAACAGCGCCAAAGAGCCTCCACCAGAACGCGGCTGGAGGCACCGAGCGGTCACAGACACGCTCCCCAAGTAAGTGCTGAAGACACGTCCTGCAACCCTCCCACCCCAACACCCAGAGGCACCCGCGGCTGTCCCAGCCACCCTCGCCCCGCCCGCGCCGCCGCCCCTCCCCCCAGCTCGTGGGCACCTGTCTCCCCCTTCTGGACTTCTGCACGCTCTGGCTGCTACAGGACCCCATGTGACTCCGCAGCCGGGCTCCAGAGCTCCAGCACCCGCAGGCCGGCCCCGGACAGCACGGGCAGGTTCCACGGCAAGAGCAGTCCCGCTCTGCAGTCTGACGGACGGCGGGGCTCCGCCAGTCCAGCTCGCCCTCAGGCATGAGGCGTGGAGAGCCTGGGCCAGTCAGACAATGGGGCCACACAGGAGGAGGCCATCAGGCAAGCCACACAGACAATCCCTGAACTGTCAGCAATGCCGGCAGGGCGAAACAAAGGAGCACTGACTTCATTACCTTGCAGACACAGAACCTCACTCGGTCACCACCATTCAAGGAGCACTTGGTGTCACCCATCTTACAAATGAGCTGCAACTCGCACAGCAAATTCTGGTGGGTTTCAGGTTTCAGGTCACTGGTCCTTTAAAAATAAGTAACTAACCTACCTAACAAGCGTAACGTTTTCTTAGAGATTCGATCAACATGAAAGATCATAAACTAAAACCAATTTATAGCAACATAACCCTGGTTTCTTCTTAGGCATGTCCCTGAGATGGTAACAAATCAGACAGCAGGGACCCCCCCACCTCATCGGGCCCTGCCACGCAAGGAAAAAAAACCACCGCTACCCATTTCCTCCCAACCCAGTCTATTAAACTGTACTCACATTTTCAAAAACCAGATTGTAAGACAGGACATGAGCCCCTGGGGAAAGGAGAGGAAGGAGCCGCCAGGCCGGGCTGCAGTGGGGGGCGGGCAGCCATCCCACATCCCCCTTCCCCGGCTCCACACCCTCCGCCCTAAGGACAGCATCCCCCCCCCCCCCCGGCCCCCACCCGCTCACTGCAAATGACGGACTGAGTGGGCTTGCTCCTGTCTGCCGACTCTCCGCAACCAACTCTCAAAACACTCGGGAGGGGCGGGGTAAAAGTTTATCGTTATCTGCCTTTTGAAAGACATCACGTTACTCTATTTCCAAACTTGGGGATTCGTAAGGTCTTAGGAAAGATTTCTTCCAAATGCGAAAGGTTTACTGTGCACCAGCTCCAGCCAAAGCTCTGGGTCGCCTACGACACAGGTCACCAGAGGAGCCAGCCTCAGCACGCGGGGCTGGGCGCTCTTGTGGCTCTGCCACACCCCGCCTGGGGCTGCACCTGTCTGTGTGTCTGTCTGGAAAAGGCCATGGGGGAGAGGGAGTTTACAGGGTTGTGACACTCCAGAGTGTCAGCTCCCTGACCTGAAGTAGAAGAGATCTTACAAACCACCCCTGCAGCCTTCCCACCCAAACCCGGACACTGCCCCCCGCGGCCGCTCGCCCTAATACTCCCGCATCATGAGGTTAAGGGCTGAAAAGCCACGAAGGTACAGGTTGATCTTAGGAAGCGACGGGAAAAGGAAAAGCAGCAAAACTAGAGCTCAGGGTCAGTGCCGGCCAGTGGGAGCACAGGATGCTGGGCTGGCGGTCTCCGTCTCCGTCTCCCCTGGGCCCAGGATGCAGAGGCCCCAGGCAAGGCAAGGAGCCAGGAGGAAAGAGAGAGGCGGCTTCTCTGGAATACAGTGAAGGTCCAGGAAGTTGCTCGAGCGTCTTACGAAACATGCGCCCCAATGCTGCACATTCAATAGAACCAGTCACTGCTACCTGTCGTGACTGCAACGTTCCAGAGGCAAAAGCTACCCTGCCTTTTGACGAGCCCCGGCACGCAAGTCGTTCCCTACCCGCTGCTCCTGTACGTGAAGAAACCGGCACGATGCCCGCGATAAAAGCGTTCGAGAGAACCGGAAAAGTGAGCCAGCGCCACGGACCGCGTAAGGCCCTGCAGCCCTGTCTCCCCAGATGGACATACTTAAGACACCTCCCTCTCTAACGATGACTGAGGAAACGCCTCAGCCCCTAGAAGACCCATCTCCGGAGCTCTCCCCCTCTGGGGGCTCCTCTCGGCTCTGCTGGAAAGGGGGCTTCACGTCCTGCACGTGCGGCTCATGTACTCCCACCGCTAAAACCCACCACGCTCAGGCAAGTCGCAAAGACATTTCCTGTCACCCGGACTGCAGCTCTCCCAGGCAACCCTCACGGGTACACCTGTTTGCAAACACAATAGCACGGGGACCTCAATGATGCCGAAGGCCCGAGTGCTTTTCTACACGCTCTCCCTAACAGCCCTGAAAACCTCAAGGCCGAGTGCCTCACCAGGCTCCCTAAAGCCAACACAACAAGGCCAAGGCCAGCATTACCAAGTTCCTCTGTCAATGAAGAGCCCGTGCAGGCAGCGAGGGGGCCTCCCCCAGGCCCGCCCACTGTCCCGAAGGGCACAGACACGACTCGCGGGCCGGCACCCCCGAGCTCCGCCAGCCCAAGCAAGGGCTCTCCCGATCGTGCGCTGATCGAGGACGCAGACAACCGCTCTTTTCCCGCTGGAAGACAGACAACAGTGGGGGCTGGATTGGTCACGGAAAACGGCCAACTCCGTATCTCCAGTATCTGGGACTTCTTCCACAGCGGCTCT